CACAGAAGGCAACTATGGGGCCACTGAGGGTAGCAACTGGGCCACGTAGGACAGTGAGGGGGACACAAATGGCGACAGCGGGGCCACGAAGGGCATGCACATGGGGCCACAACGGGCGCGACTCCTGGGTGCCTGGGTGTCGGGAGCGCGGCGCTTGGGCAAACTGCAGGAAATCCCAACGCAAGGCAATTCTTCAGTAACTTGCAAGCAAGTCTCCAGCGAGAGCGCGACTCCAGAGCGCCGGGAGAGCGATTCCTGAATAAATTGTAAGGAAGTCCCAAGCGAGATCGCGACTCCTGAACAACATGGGAGGAAGTCTCGGGCGGGAGCGGGCGTCCTGGCTAAATTGTAAGGAAGTCTCAAGCGGGAGCCGTTGTTGTTGTAACCCGGGGGCCAAGGGCCCAGTTTGAGCAGGAGGACTTTCCCTGTCAAAAAACAGGGTGCGAGCGTCGAGGGGCACACTTTGATTGAGAAAAAGCAGTATGCACCGGTGGGGGGGATCAACAGTAATTATTCTTCAGAAATGAGAATTCAACAACAGCAGCAACAGCAGCAGCGACAAAAACAGCAGCAGCAACAGCATCAGCAACAACAGCAACAACAACAGCAGCAACACTTACAGCAACACCAGCAACAACAAAGGCAACAACAACAGCAACAGCAACAGTAACAGCAACAAGCACAACATCAACAACTACAATAACCACAACCACAACCACAACAACAACAACAACAACAACAACAACAGCAGCAGCAACAACACCAACAACAGCAACAACGCTCCCGTCTTAAACCCCCTCATGATTTAGTACCACACAGTGGAAGGTGGGTCCTTCCAAGCAGTCTTGCCGCTACTTGCGGATGCCGCAACGATCGTTTCGCCTAAGACTTCTTCGCAATTTAGCACTACAAAGGAGTCCCTCATAACCAGCTTGTTGCTCCTCGCGAATGCCGGAACGGCCTTTTCGCCTGAGACCTTTTCGCAATTCAGTGTCACTGGGGGGTCCTTCAGAACATTCTTGCTGCTACTCGCGGATGTCGGGACGGCCGTTTCGCCTGAGACTGCCGCGCAATTCAGCAGCAAACTGGAATCCGTCAGAACAGTCTTGCCGATACTTGCGGAGGCCCCAGGAGGCTCCAGCGCCCGGGAGCGCCTGGGAGCGCCTGGGAGCGCCTGGGAGCGCCTGGGAGCGCCTGGGAGCGCCTGGGAGCGCCTGGGAGCGCCTGGGAGCGCCTGGGAGCGCCCGGGAGCGAGGGACGTGTTCGGGCAGCGCTTTCGGCCCTCCGCCCTACGAGGCATTGTCTGACATGGGATCTGTGTTCGGGGAGCGCTTCTTCGGCCCCGGCCCCTCTGGTCCCAGGAGGCACGCCCCAGGAGACGCTTCTGTATTGAGATCTGTGTTCTGGGGACGCTTGTCGCACCCCCCGCCTCCAGGAGGCCCCAGGAGGCCCCAGAAGGCATTTTTCTGTATTGGGATATGGGTTCGGGGAGCGCCTTTTGTCCTAATAGGTTTCGCCGCCCCTCACCCCAAGGTTTTACGTCTGTTCCTACAGATTGCCCCCCTCCTGGGGCTCGAATCCTTTGTGCTTGACGTATGCTCCTATATATATATATATATATATATATATATATATATTGCCGCTCGCCTGGCGCTCGAATCCCTTGTGGTTTAACTTACGTGTCTATACCGTACTCCTCGACTGGGGCTCGAATCCATCGTGTTTCACGTATTATTGGCCTCGCATGGGGCTCGAATCCTTCGTGGTTCGACCCCCCACCGCTCCCAAACTAGGGACCCCACAAAAGACGTACGCGCCCCGCTATGTACATGAACACGGCCCCGTGACCCGCGAGACGTGCCGCGTGATACGAGCATTCGTGCAATGCGAACTCTCGAAAACAGCGTGGATTCATGTACATGTACGTCCTCCTTTCGTTCCTCACAAACGTCGCACTGATGTTTTATGTGTCGTGCGAGCTGAGAGTGGGAACTTGCCTCGGGAGAGGTGTTGGCTCGACGTCCTTGGGCGGGAGATCTGGGTCTGGGAATATCGCCACCTTGGCCTACAGCTCCCCAAAGTCGGGGTGGCATCATGATGGATGCATGTGGTACGTATTAACATGGCGCGTGAACATAACATGATTATCGTTGTTGCGTTGTTGTTGTAATCGTCCTCGCTTGCCACCCGCCCGCGACCCATCCGCGACCCGCCAACATTGCTTTGACAGGAACTCGGCGCCTGCGGCGGGCTCGTTGCGCAAGGTGTTAATTAAAAAGATCGACGCCGGCGGCAGGCTTCTTCAGAGCCTCGAAGACTGCCGACGACCCCGCCTCCCCACACACTCACTCTTATCCGCATGTGGGGGGTGCTACGTAACAGGCGATGTGATGATTTCGATGTTTTGCCAGTTTCACGTGTTGCTCCCAAGATGTCCCAAGAACGCTTCAAGACGGCCCCCACAGCCCCCAAGATGGCCTACGACAGCTCCTGAAAGGGCCTCAGAAAACTCCACCAAGATTGCTTCTGTGTCTCCCAGGATGGCCCAAGAACGCTTCAAGACGGCCCCCACAGCCCCCAAGGTGGCCTACGACAGCTCCTGAAAGGGCCTCAGAAAACTCCACCAAGATTGCTTCTGTGTCTCCCAGGATGGCCCAACACGTCGCCAAGACGGGCCCTGCAAAGGATTCCCAGACCCCCGACGATATGATTTTCCTGCAGTGTCGGCCCCAAAAGGTCTCAACCCTTTCAAGGGGACCGTTTTTTCATCCTGAGTCGTTTCTTGTGACTGCCCCGAGGCCCGGTAAGGGCCCCTGGAGGCCGAAAATGAGAAACAACCCTTCGTCGCATTTTTTCATGCCTCGAGGGGGTCGGGGTTGCCAGAGATGGCCCCAGAGGCCCGCCAGTGCCCCCCGAGAGGCCCCTGGACGGAGCACGAACCCGAGCCTTGCCTTGCCCGACACTCGGCGGCGCGCCCGGGGGGCAGGTGAGAGGGGCAGACCTTATATCAGGCGGCGGCGGCGCTTCTCAGAAGCCCTCGCGCCTGCTGATGATTGTTCTGCCTTCGGCGAAGGATCTGGAAACTCACCAGAACCAAGGGGCCCAAGGACACGCAACTCAACACACACAAACCAAAAGATTCCCCATCTGTGCTCACATTTCCTGTGCTTTTTTTGTCTGCCCCCCCCACTCCCCATGTTTTTGTTCACTTCTTTTCTGGGGAATCGACGATTCATTGTGTCTGTGTGTGTGAGTGTGTGTGTGTGTCTGCGTGTGTTTTTCTCCCCATGAAGCTCCTCGGAAGGCCAAGGGCCTCCCGAGAGCCTTCGGAGGCGCACGCCCCGCCTCCCTTCCTTCCCCCCCCCAGGGCTCGCCGCCGAGACCACGGCCGCACACGACGGCTCCGCCTATGGCGGGCCCCGCGCCGCAGGGCGCCGCACGGCGGCCCCGGCCCCGCCCGCCGGCTGGCCTCGGACCTCTGGAGAGGTGTTCGCGAGGCCCGCGCCGACGACAGACAAAACTGAGGAGCCGAACTCTCTATATATATACACCGACGCCCCTGTCCTTGCCTCACGCGGAACCGCGCACAGGAGAGCGGATCCTGGTGTATACGGGATCCTGGTGTACACACTCTTCGTTGTTTCCCCCCCAAAAAAAGTATACACTACACTTTTTTTTATATTTAAATAAAAAAAAAAACAGCGCAGACGGAGCCCAGTGGCACGACGCGACAGACGAGCGACGGACGACAGACGAACGAAAAAGAGGCGGCGCAGAAGAAGGGGGGGAGGGAGGGGAAGAGGAGAAGGGCTGGCAGGGGGCGCCCGCGCCGGCGCAGCCCCGCACTCACCCGAGGGCGCCGCGGCGGCACCGCCGCGGCCGCGGCCGGCGAGCAACCACGCCTACCTCCGCCTGGCAGCGGCGGAGATGCCGGCAGCCATCTGGCCCATCAGCTCACCACACCACCCCGACGTCGTCCCCGACCCTCAAAAAAGTCCTGGGATTGAAAAACCGCCCGCCACTGGTAATGTATACGTCCTAGTTCCCGACTTTGGAAAAGTTTTCGGGGCTTGCGTTAACGAGAGACAAAACTTCTCAGAAGGCGCGAGGGCTTTCAAGAAGCCCCGCTGCCCTCTGAGAAGGCCCTCTGCCTCTCGCTTCCCCACCAGGCGCGCCGCCGGTCTTGTCACTGTGCCTGACCAGCACCTGGTCCGAAGCTGCGGCACCCAACGAACCGCGGGAAAACTTAGAATGGGGAGAACGGGTCCTGAGGGAAACAGGTCCTGGACCCTGGGGCCTTCCACCAAGACGGGCTCTTCATCCTGAGTCGTTTTCTGACAGTCCCAGGGCCCGTGAAGGGCCCCAGGTACCCGAAAACGAGGAAAAACCTCAGGACCCCGTCTCCGTCAGGACCCGTTTCCCCCGTGGCGAAAAGCGCGAGCCACAATTTTCCCACACTTGGTTCTTGGCCACGAGCCAGTCCCACCTGCAATGCAGATACGGACCACGCCTTTGCGGAGAACACAGCTACCCCGCCCACGGCCCACGGGCACGCAAGACAGTCAGCCCGTATACTAAGAGCGCACGATAAGGATGCAAGGGCCATGGAAGGACATGTCGACACTTTGCGAGCGGGGCGCGGCCAGCGAAAGCGGCCAAGGATGGGCCGACGGGGAAGGATGCAAGGGCAACCTTGGAAAATTGCTCATCCTTTCTATACGGGCTGACTGTACCCCGCTGGCGGTACTCCGCGGCTCGGCGCGACTGGACGTCTTCTCTGCCATGAGCAGCACGCGCTCTGCCGCACTCGACCCGTTGATGCTTCTCCTCTGCGCGGAAGTTGTTTGTTTTTTGCTGCGCCTCTTTTCTCTGCTTTTCCCGCCCGAGGCAGGTAATTAGGCACTACAGGCGTTGCCTGAAGCCGGGACGGAGCAAAAGGAGGTAAAGAAGCCCTTGCTCGTGTGGGGGCCTCCGGCCCGCGGCCGTCCGGAACCCACGACTCACAGCTCATCGATGGCCATTTCCATGTACTTGTCCTTCTTGCTGGCATCCAAGGCCTTCAGCTCCTTCATCCCGCGCTCGATCGCCGTGGTGCTGATGTAGGACTCGATGCGGCTTGCCGCACCATCCTCCATGTCCTTGATGGCCTGCTTGGCGGCCGCTTCCTGGCGGGCGAGCGTGCTCTCCATGTTGGCCTTCAGGGTGGCCTCGAACTCGGCCTTGTCCTTGTCGATGCTCGCGTTGATCTCCGCGATCACTTCGTTGGCCTGCGCCTGGGCCTTCTCCGCCTCTGCCAAGCGGCTGGTCGCCTCGTTGAACTTGGCGATAGCGTCGTCGATGTCGCCCTGGATCTCCTTCTCGCGCGTGGCCATCGACTCACTGAGGAGGGGCCCCAGCAGGTAGAGGAGGCCCGCGATGAGCACGGCAATGTTGACGATGCCGGTCTCCGGGATGTCGAGGTTGAGCTCGAAGCCGCCCCCCAGCGGGACCTTGCCAAAGTTCAGGAAGCCCTCGGGTGCCTGTGAGCGGCAACGTTAGGGGAAGACTGGCTAAGGGAGGGAAACATTGACCTGGAGCCGCCGATAGATCGGCGATCGGCCCCCAGTAGCAAATCCGTCCGCTTCTGGGCGGGGTGGGCTATCGTGCCCCTATTGGCAATGACTTGGGCGATTGGGGGTCGATGCGTTCCCCCCTGAGCCTATCCCCCCACGGATTCTCGTTGTCCGTTGTCTGGGGTAACTCGGGTCTCTGGCGGCCGTTCAGGACGCTCTCGGCGAGGCGGGAGCCGCTGGAAGGCATCTCGAGGCTCGAAAGCCGACGAGAGCCGACGAAGACGCCCGAAAACCTCGAACCTCGACCCTGCCCTAACGCTGCCCCTCTCCGATGTCCGTTTTTTTTTCAGGACGGGGTTCCCAGAAACCCACACCCCTTCTCTAGTGTTAAGTCGGGCCTGTCCCCCTAGAGGCCGATTTGGACGAAAAATTAAAAATACACCCAACATGCACTAAAAATGTTCAAAAATTGTCAAAAATACTATTTTTGAATTTTCCCCCTGTAGAGGGACAGGCCTGACTTAACTCTAGTGTCAGTGATTCACCCCGGATGATTTTGAGATGCTCCCGGGGCAAAGTGAGGGCGCCCGGAGGCCGCGCACGGCCAAGACCGCCCGCGACGACTCTTGCCACGACGCGAACACGTCTGGCGAGCCTTCTCGGCGCCCTCGTGGCACATGGCCGTGGCCGTCACCCCTGTTCTGCGGCCACGATCCGGGACAAAATTCTCCACTGCGGTGCACATGTAGGGGGCCACACGCGAACCCTACCACTACCCCCCACGATTTCTGAGAGGGAGGGTGGGGTTTACTTCGTCTGGGAGCTCCCGAGCGAAGTGAACCCCACCCTTCCCCTCAGAAATCGTGGGCGGCAGGGGCAGGGTTCGCATGTGGCCCCCTACCATGGCCGTGCTCCCACCCGTCACGCCTATAGGAGCCCCTGGGAGCACACACTGTGCGCACGCTCGCACTGCGTAGCCGTCCTCCTGCTCGATCCACCCGCCTCCTCGCCCCTCGCTGCTGCTGCCGGGGTGCCCTTGCTGGGGGGGAGCTTAAATTCCTGGCGCGAGCGCGCCCGGGGAGCCTCGGCGCCCTCGTTGGCGAGCGCCGGCGCGGCGGCGCCCGAGAGCACGGCGGCCGACAGCGCGGCCGCGCCGGCCGGGCGCGGCGGCGCGCGGTGCGCGGGGAGGAAGCAGCCCGCGGCGCGCGCGGCGAGGGCGGCGGCGAGGCCGAGGGCGAGGCAGGCCGCGAGGGCGGGGCGGCGGGCGGCGCTCCGGGGGGCCATAGCTCCTGCGGAGGACGGCGCGGCCCGCCCCTGGGCCAGGCTCCCCGCGCCCGACCCCGTCGTGGAGCGGTCTGGGGCCGTCCTGGGGCCCTCCTGGGACGGTCGAAGGCCGTCTTGAAGGCCTGGTGCTCCAGGGGTCCTGGCCGGGGGTGGGGGTGGTCTCTTGGCCCCAAAGAGCCTTGAAACACCGCCCGCACCGGCAGCCTGGACGCCCCCGGATCACCAGGTCGGGCGTGGGGGTCCTGGCGGGGGGTGGGGGGGTGGGCTGTGCTGTCCTCACTTGCTCGGGCGGCGGCTTGGCTCGAGGCCTCCCAGGTGGGGTCGGAGAAGATGGGGTCGGAGGACTCGTGCCGCATCGCCGATGCATCGGCGACGTCGACGGTGCAGTGGCGACGAATGAGTGGAGACAATCGGGCTCCGCATCGAGCCGCATCGCCGATGCATCGGCGATGTGGCGCGATCCTCCGACCCCATCTTCTCCGACCTCACCTGGGATGACTACATTGGCGGCGCGCACTCGACCCTGAGATCTGGGTGTTGCCATCACCTCGGGCGAGTTCGCCCAGTGTCGGGCCCCGGGATCATCACAAAACGATCCGTCTCGAAAAATTGTCAGAAAATGTGTGTCGAGGACTCTGGTCGTGACTTTTCATGATCCTGTCATTTTTCCGCAACGTCGGATCTCAGGGAAGAGGTTAGCGCAAGGGGGGGCGGGCTTCCTAACAGGGCCGGGGGACTTCTTAGAAGGCAGGGGCTTTTCAGGAAGCGCCTAGAAGCTTCTACATGTATACAGTCAAACCGCAGAATAAGGATGCGCGGTAAGGATGCAAGGGCCTTGGAGGCCCATGATAACGTTTTTCCAACAAGGCTGGCCAGCGAAAGTCGCTAAGGATGGGCCGAAGGGGCAAGGATGCAAAGGGTAGCCTTAGAGAGTTGCTCATCCTTACTGTGCGGGTTGACTGCAAGCAGGCTTCGTAGAAGCCAAGAGGCCGCCTGCCTTGTCGGAGGCCCCTCCGCCTTCCCAGAAGGCCCCCCCCCTCGCGCCAAATCTCTGGTGCGCACCGCCAGGGAGGCGTCGGCGCTGCCGGCTGCGAGGTGGGGCGCTGAGGAGCCGCTGAGGGCAATTCGCGCTGGAGCCAAAAGGGCTGCGGGAGAACGAGGAAGAGAGGGCTGCGAAAGGGCTGGAGCCAAAAGGGCTGGAGCCAAAAGGGCTGGAGCCAAAAGGGCTGGAGCCAACAGGGCGGCTGGAGCCAAAAGAGTAATAGAGGCTGGAGCCGAAAGGGCTGCGAAAGGAGGGCGCCCATCTCCCCGCGCTGTGCCAAGAGATGGGGGCGAGAAGTTCGTGGCGGTCCCTGGGCCCCAGGGGCCGCCCAGAGACACGACTCGGGAGGGGGTCCAGGGCTCCACGGGTCCGCGCCGCGTGGAGGAATGGCGACGTCGGCCTTCCGGGGAGGTCGCCCTTGCCGCGGGGGCCCAACATTGGGCAGCAATGAGTGGCCCCCCTTGTTCAGTGGAACTGTGCATGTTCAATGACATGTGTACATATACACAAATATCGGTACATATGTGTACATATACCATCGATGCGTACATCATATATCATCTATAGGTACTAGAACCATCACGCGCGCTTTTGTTCTATTTGAGGTTTTATCCAGTGGCGACGCACGGAATGGAACCTGGGATCGCTATTGAGGAAGAACCAAAGGCATGAGAACACTGACAACGACCGAACACGGTCATCTGCACCGGGAACCGCAGTGGGCGGACCCACCCGCTTTCTCGCAGTGATGAGGGTTGCGCAGAATGGCTCTGCTTTGCGATGCCGTGATGTAGAGCGCAAGTGGAGAATTGAGTGCACAACTCACCCAGGCGAACTGGACCGTCCAGCAGCACGTGATAGGGGGCATTGTGCGAACGTCGCCGCCCCGACTGAATTGGCCGATCTGGACAGGGCGAACCCACGCTGCAAAGAGTGGCTGCAGAGGGCGGGGAGGGGCCACCAAAAGGGCCCCAGAAGGAAAACCGCGCGGGACCGAAGTTGCCCGAAGAAGCTTCTCCTGGAGGCACCGAAAACGTCCCAGGTAGGCCCTGGACCGCCACGAGGCTCCCCCGGCGATTCACAAACAGAGAGACTCCGACAAACACCCGCGAAGAAAAGTGGCGGCCTGAAGCCTGCACCCGCGATCGATCGACGGTGACGACGTGCGACGACGGCTGACAAGGTCAACTCGGAAAACGACTCCCGGACCTCTGTGGGTCCATGGCAGCTTTGGCCACGCTGGAAGCCATGTGGTAATCTTGGAGCGTCCCTCGGTGCCTTCGGGGCCGTCATGGAATTCGGCGGGGCCTGCACTGGGCGGCGGACCCTGGATAAGAAAGCACCGAATTCAAGAGGCGGGAGCTCGGGAACTTCGCCGTGCTCCAGTGGGACGTGTCCGGAGCACGTTCAAATTGAGAACGCCCCCAGGGGGGGGGGTCGGACCGACGATGACGTGTGCAGGGGGTATTCGGGGCCAGGCGCAAAGGAAATTCTACGTGCCCCGGAGAGGCGCCGCCGAACTTTTCCATAACTTTTTTTCCGAACTTCAGGATTCCAGCAACGTTGAACTTGAACTTTGTAAAAAAATTGGCCTCACACTTTTTCCGAACTTGTGATACCTGTGCGACCACCCTTCGGGTGATAAGGAGGATGTGGGGGGGGGAGGGGGGGAACCAACATCTGACTCAATCGATCGCACTATCGATCTCACTCAACGGGACACCACGGGACACCAGGGGACACCACGGGACACTTGTCGATCTCACTATCGATCTCACTCAACGGGGCACCACGAGACACCACGGGCCACCATGGGAAACCACGGGACACCCGCGGGGCACCTCTTGCTCTTGCTACCGGTCTCACTATCGATCTCACTATCGATCTCACTCAACGGGACACCATAGGACACCACGGGACACCTCGGGACACCATATCGATCTCAGTATCGATCTCAGTACCGATCTCACTCAACGGGACACCACGGAACACCACGGGACACCACGGGACACCTCGGGACACCTGTCGATCTCACTATCGATCTTACGATCGATCTCATTTTTTGGGACACCACGGGACACCTCGGGGCACCACATCGATCTCAGTATCGATCTCAGTATCGATCTCACCATCGATCTCACTCAACGGGACACCACTGGACACCACAGGACACCACGGGCCACCGCGGGACACCGCGAGCCATCGCCGGACGGACGGACGGACGGGCGGGCGGGGGAGAATCCGTTGTTTTGACTTCGCCCTAGCAAAAGCGGACACCACGGGACACCACGGGACACCGCGGGACACCGCGAGCCACCGCCCGACGGGCGGGCGGGGGAGAATCTTTTGTCTTGATTCCGCCCTAGCAACGGCGGACACCACGGGACACCACGGGACACCACGGGACACCGCGGGACACCGCGGGACACCGCGGGCCACAGCCGGACGGGCGGGAGAGGGAGAATCATTCGTCTTGACTTCGCCCTAGCAGCGGCGGGTTCATCCTATCGCGCGCCCACGCAGCGTCGCCTCGCCCGCACGCACGACACGAACGAAACGAAACGATTTTCAGGTTTGGGGTCTCCGTTCCACTGCGATCTCACCCCCCAACCTCCGATTTTAACATAAGGACCGTTCGCGCCCCCTCAGCCTGTTAGAATCCTAGATGGGTCCGAGCAGATGGGGATCGCGCCGCATCGGCGACGTCGAGGTGGAGAAAATCGGGCTCCACATCGTGCCGCATCGGCGATCCATCGGCGATGCGACGCGATGCTCCGACCCCATCTGCTCGGACTCTACCTGGCAGGCCTAGAGCTTGGCGAGCCAGGACAGCAAGACATGTACGATGCCCAGCAGTTAATGTTGTCCAGAACCGACAGCGGACGCTGCTGGGCATGCGACTCTGTCTCAAAAACAGAACGTCCGCGGCGACGCCGACAGCGAGCCATGTTCAAACTTGTCAAGAACTGCTCTCGATCTGAGCCTCCGCCCATTCTGATCGCGCCGATCTGCGCGCCTGCAGAGACCCCGAGGCCTCTGCTGACCTCTGGGGCACGCCAGTCTTGGCGAGACGGGCGGCGGCGGCGGCACCGGCGGGCCTTGTCGGCGAGGGACAGCGCGCCGGCAGGAGAGCTGCCCTGGGCGAGCAGCTGGGACGCCTCCGGGGCTCGCGCGGAGGTCGCCGTCGCCGCGGCCGCCGTCGGTGTCGCCGCAGTCCTCGTCGCAGTCGCCGTCATCGTAGGCGCCGGCATCAGCGTCGTTGCCGCCGTCGCCGTTGTGGGAGGTGAGGGCCAGGTGGAGGAGACGGAGGAGAAAACGGAGGAGAAGATGAGGAGGGGGTGAAAGGTGAAGGAAGGAAGAGGGTGGAGGAGGGGCTGGGAGGGGCGGGGGGGGGCGAGTAATTCCTTTTTTCTTTTGTATACAACCACGGCCGCATTGCTCACAAAGTTTTAGCGTTGCCTGCGGCTACTCACCAGGACGCCTCTTTCATCAGCGCCCCGCGGCTAGACCCAGGGAGGGGCCAAGGGCCCTCTTTGGGAGCAGAAGAACGTGAACATACCGCGCACTCCCCGGCTCCTCCTTTCCTCCCCTCGCTTCCTCCTCCTCCTCCTCCTCCTCCTCCTCCTCCCTCCTCCCCCTCCTCCTTCTCCTCCTCCTCCCCTCCTCCTTCCTCCTCCTCCTCCTCCTCCTCCTCCACCACCCTCCACCTTCTCCTGCTCCCCCTCTTCAGCCCTTTCCTAGCCCCGTTGGCCTGCCACGTGGGCTCAACTTTGCCTCACCCCACCCCTCCTGCTCCGTTCCCTCCTGCTGATCCTCCTCCTTTTCGACCTCCTCCTTCTCCTCCTCCCCGTTGCCCTCGCCGGCGCCAGGGGCCGGGGTAGAGCCAGTGCGTTTGCTCCCCAATTGGCTATCTCACAGGCGCCAACGCCTGCGTTGTAGCTGATGGCGTCGGGCTCCAGGGTCGCCCCCCGCATCTCGCCAAACAGCGCCACAACCTGCCGCCATGGCTCGCCCTTCTCGTAGGCTGATGACGTTGGGCTCAAACTTCACCTTCCGAATCTCGTTCAGCAGCGCCAGAGCCCGCTGCCACTACGCGCGCGCTGATCGCGGCGTTGTAGCTGACAAAGGGCGAACCCGTGGACTTCGTCCACGTCATCTAGCGTGCTCAAAGCGTGCGTGGGCCATCATCCTCTCTATCTTCGCTCGGTGGTGGCGGGTCCTACGACAGCGCACCCCCGAGCAGAAGCATGGGGGCCCCGAAGCGCTGGAAACAGCTTGGAAGCCACTTGGGCTCTCGTGGGGGCCGCTCGGAGATATCCTCGGGCCTCGTATGGAGTCTCGAGGGTGACTTGGGGCCGTCTCGGGCGCCTCAAGGGCAGTCGTGAGCCGTTTTGGGCCGTCTTGGGCGCCTCTCGGGCTGTCGTCGGGCCGCCTTAGGCGGCTCTTGGGCCATCTTGGGCGCCTCTTGGGCCATCTTGGAGCCCTTCTAGGTGGTTCTGGGGGGGCATTATCTGGATCCTCTTGGACGGGCTTGGAGTTTTCGGGGGAGCCCCCCCCACCAACAGCCGTCTCGGGCAGGTCTTGCCTCGAAATGGCGACAAGGTGGAAATCATTCAAAAACCATTGGGAAATCAATGATTTCGTTTGCCGCGGCCCGTCTGGACGGCCTCTGAGGCCGTGTAGGGGCCATATTGGGGGTGTTGGGCCGTCTCGGAGCTCTCCGTGAGCCCTCTTGGGCGGCTTTTGGGGCCCGTCTGGAGGGCTCCTGGGGGCTCTCTCGCGCCGTCTTGGGTATCTCTTGGGCCGTTTGGGCTCCTCCAGGAGCCGTCTTGGAGCACTCCTGAGCAGTCTCGGAGCCCTTGCCAGAGTCTCTGGAGCCTTGGAGCGTTCGTGGGCAGCTCTGAGCTCGAAATCGCGAGAACCTGAAAATCAGGCAAAAACATATACAAACCAATGTTTTTTGGGAGCCGCGAGCCGTCTGGACGGCCTCTTGAGCCGTCTTGGGGCCATGTTGGGGCTCTTGGGCTGTCTCGGGGCTCTCCGTGAGCCCTGTTGGGCGGCTTTTGGGGCCCGTGTAGGCGCTTGGGCAGTCTTGGGCTCCTTTGGGAGCTGCCTTGGAGCCCTCCTCAGCCGTCTTGGGGCCCTTGTAGGAGCTCTTGGGCGGCCTTGGAGCGTTCGGGGGGATCACAAGAGCTGTCTTTGGCCGCTCTTGGCTCGAAATCGCGGCAACCTGAAGATCAGACAAAAACAATTTAACCAAGTAGATGTTTGGCCGCCGCGAGCTTTCTGGACGGCCTCTGGGGCCGTCCTGCGGCCATGTTGGGGCTCTTGGCCCGATCTCGGCGCTCCCTGAAGGCGTCCCGAAGCGTGCTCGAGCCGCCCGGGGGCACACCGGGCCACGCCAGGGTCGCCAGGGGCCCGCCGAGGCCGCGCCAGGGGCCCGCCGAGGTCGATTTTCGACTCTTGATCCGGTTCCCTTCCCGCACACGCTTCCCCCGGCCATGCAGGAGAGACTGAGGCCGGGCCGTGGACTGCCCTCCAAGAAACTTGACAAAACCGCATCTGGAAAGAAATGCCCAGTCGCGACACGGCGCGGTGGACTCAGCACAACAGCTCGCAACGCGGCACGTCATGACACGGCACCGTTTAGTGTCACATGCGAGGCCAGGCCTGTCAGCGACACGGCGACGCGAATGCAACGCAGTACGACGGGCGCGCAGGTGCGCACGAGATGCGCATCTGTGCGCCAATAGGAGCTGCGGTGCCGGATTTCAATGTAATCCAAAGGCCACAGTACAGACACGAAGACACTACGATCGGGAACTCTCGCTCAGTGTGTCGCGGAGGCGGCGCGTTTCCGGCGACGCGCCCTGCCCTGCGAACGGGCAGCGTGTTTCTCCGCTCCGCGGGGCTGGAGGCTGGGAGCAGCTCGGGACGCTGACGCTTGGGAATGTGAAAGTGGATAGCGTGTCGCGCCGAAGCGTGGTGGGCCAGAACGTTCCTGACCGGAAGTTCTACGACAACTGACAGGTCTTGATTCTTAGTATGACTTTGCAGATTCGCCCAGGGATGGATGTCTCAGTATGACCAGTTTCTACCTGTCGTCGCACGTGCCAGAACAGGAGAGGCGCCCCCCTCTAGAAAATACCTGTCATCGTCCAACCCACCCGCCTCCAGTAACCGCGAAGCGGCCTTCCCCGCTCCCGACCCTACCCGCCACTCAACAACCACCCCTCCACCATCCACCATACGTCGGCGCAGAACGCCCCTTCCCAGGCCCCGCTGCACCCCAACCTCCGTCATCGCCCACAGCACCCGCCACCAAACTCTACCGCACTGCATCCCTATGCTTTCCGCCTGTCTTCCCTACTTCCCCCTCATGATATCCCCCTAGTCCCCCTGTCCCCCTATGCTACTCCACTAGCTGCCTGCCACCACCTACCGGAATGCGCGGGTGGCTGTCGCGATGCTGCGCCACCTCACTTTCCGCTTTGACCACCACCCCTCACTACCGAACGGCCTTGCCGTACCATCCAGCCCACGGCTCCATCAATTTGTCGCGTGCCACTGCGGAACTCCCCTTCCAATTCCGGCTGCACCTGCCACCTGTCGCAGCCCTCTCCACATGCTACGCATCACAGGCGAACTGGGCCCCGTGGCCTTGAAGGGCTCATACAAAGAACCCTCGGGTTAGGCCTGAAGGCTCATGAGCCTGCCTTGACGATTTCGTTGGCACTCTCGCATCCCGCTTCAAGTTGCCCTGGGCCCGTCCTGGGCGGCGGAGGAAGAATAAGAAGAACACGGTCGGGAACTGTTGCTTGGCGTGTCGCGGCGGCGGCCCCGGCGCCACGCCATGGCAAAGGGATGGCGTGTCGCTCCGCTCCGCGGGGTGGAAGGCTGGGGATAGCTCGGGACGGTGGCGCTTGAGCCGCTTGGGGACAGCGGTGTGATCGTCAGCGCGTCGCGCCGCAGCGTGGCGGTCCAGAGCCGGCGCAACGCCACGCAGAGCAACCGCTCCTGGCTCAAGAATACATGGGGGGACACCACAAGGTACAGATACGGCTGCCCCCCGGACCTCTCCGGAGTGCGCTCTGACCAGAATTTCGGAGCGGATCCAGCGGTGGCGACGAGGGCCTCCCAGGAGGCCCCAAAAAGGCGAACACGAGGCGAGTGTAGCGCTACGGGTGCCTTGCTCCTCCTCTGGAAAGAGGGGGCACCCCGCCGGGGCCTCGCCGGTCCGGGGCGGCGGCCCCGGAAGCAGCCGCTCCCTGTGGCCCTCCCTGGCGGCGGGCGCGCTGCTGCCGCCGCCGGGCGGCGGCGGCTGTCCGGGGGGAGGCCTGCCGGGCGCGGCGGCGGCGGCGCAGAGTGCGGCGGCGGTGGCGCCGCGTGCGGCGGCGGAGCGCGGCGGGCGGCCGCTCGGAGCTCGGGCGCGGGCCTCCTCTCGTCCCTCGCCCTGGCAGCTAGGGCGGCGGGATCTGCACGTGCCCACTCCTCACGGACCAGGCCGACCCTGAAACCATCCGCGGAGTACACGCCACGCCCCTCCTGGCCTGGCCAGAAGGGCGCACACACACAGCTCCTAGGCCCAGGAAGGGCCCGGCCAGAGAGCCTCCTCTCTGACTGCCTACCAGACCACCCCAACCCGACCCGAGGACCTGAATTCGGGGTGGGGTGGGGTGGGTACGGGTTCCATCTATTTTTTTTCCATATTCCCCGACCATCTATGGTTTTTCCATATTCCCCGACGCCCCCCCCTCCCCCACACTGGAGACGGAGGGCAGACTGGGGCCTCCGGCCTGGGTTGGGGTGATTTGGTGGTTGGTGACTCTCGTCCTCGCCCTCTTGTGGGGAGGAGATGCCCCCCCTCTCTGATCACGGGATGCTGGAAATTTCCTGTCGCGACCGACGAGATCGGTCGCTACCCATTTTGCTTCAAGTTCCAGGGTCGATCGCGACCGACTTGCTTCAGAATCCGTCGCGACCGATTCGCGACCGATTTGGAGTGCCGATCGGTCGCTGCCGATCGCGACCGAACAAATCTGGTATCTAATGCTCTGGGTTGTGGGTGCCCCCTCCTCCTGCTTCTGCTCTCATCTCCCAGACGTGCTCGCGCCGCTCACAAAAAGTTACGGCGGCATGCGTTGCCGCTTTCGGCCTCCCGGGGCCCTCGCGGTGCCCAGGGCCCCGCGAGAAACTGCTCGGGATGCCAATTGGCGGCGCGCACAAGGGGGTAATGGGGGAGGGGGGAAGGCTTCTTCGCAGGAGGCTGCTTCTCGGAAGGCGCCGGCCTCACACCTACGAAGAAGGCCCGCGCCCTCTGAGAAGCAGGGGCGCTTCTGAGAAGCCTCCCCCCCTCCCCCTCCCCCCTCCTGACTACCTACCAGACCACCCCAACCCAACCCCGAAGACCCGAATTTCGGGTTGGGGGGGGGTACGGGTCCCATTTGTTTCTTCGGTGTTCCCCGAACCCCCCCCCACTGGAAATGGAGGGCAAATCGAGGCCTTCGGGTCGGGTTGGGGTGGTTCGGTGGGTGGTGACCTCCTGCGCGTGGCCGGGCAGCACGGGCCCCGGGGAAAGGGCCCTCGATCCTCCTCGCCCCCGCCGCACGCGGGCTCGGCGGGCCCGGTCGCTCTGCGGGGGCTCCCTCACTCGGGGATGGACAGACGACGACGACGACGGCGACGGCGACGACGACGACGGCGACGGCGACGACGACGGCGACGGCGACGGCGACGGCGGCGACGACGGCGACGACAGCGAAGATGTCGACGCCGACGGCGAGTTTGCCGAACGCGGGTGGGGGGGAGAGCGGGGCGCAGGGCGCGCGCCGCGCGAGAGAGGCAGGTCGGCGGGAAGGATCGGGGATGGACAGAGCCCCCTTTAGAGTAAAGCGTGGCTTAGTGAAAACGACCTGAGGCCCAAACCTGGCGGGCGCAAGCCTGGAAAATAAGGGCCACGGCACCCTCTCGAGAACCGAAAACGGACAATTCACTAATCGACGTGTCAGGGTGGGGGTTCTGTCCACCCCCGACCCTGGTGGAAGCAGTCCTGGTGGGTCCGCTTCGGGCAGGGGGAGCGGGAGGCGCCGGCGAGGCACGACGCGGCGCGCAGGTCACCCCCGCCACCGCACGCCTGGGCCCGTGCTCTGCCTGGTTGCGTTTCGGAGCATGCCCTAGAAATCATCTCCTCCTCCTCCTCCTCCTCCTCCTCCCTCCTCCTCCTCCTCCTCCTCCTCCTCCTCCTCCTCCTCCTCCTCCTCCTCCTCCTCCTCCTCCTCCTCCTCCTCCTCCTGACTCGAGAAGGAGGGGGTAGGGCAAGGAGGGAGGCGGAGGGAACCTTCAGGCAGCGGCGACGGGCGCGGCCGAGGGGCGTGCGCCGCCCGACCCTGCCGTCGGGCGCGCGCGCGCACCCGCTGGAGGCCATGATCGAAGGAGGAGGAGGAGGAGGAGGAGGAGGAGGAGGAGGAGGAGGAGGAGGAGGAGGAGGAGGAGCAGCAGCGTGACAGAGGGGAGCTCAGCGGGCCAGCACGGCCGCAAACGCGCCCGCGGGCACCACGGGGGTGTCGCGCAGTGCTCGGCAGCAGGAGCCGCTGCCGCGCGGCGCCCCGCGGCAACCAGGCCGTGCGCCAAGCCTCCGCGCTGCCCTGCTGCAGCGCCGCCGAGAGGCTCTACGGCGCTGCAGCACGGCCCCAAAGCGCTTCCACGGCGGAAGCTGTCGGCGATCGCCGCAGGCCCTAGGCAGCGCCCATGCTTGCGCGCCTCGGCGCAACTGTCCCGAGGTCGCAGGGCTGCGGCCAGCGCCCCTGCGGATCCCGAGCGCAGCGTCGGTGCACCATGGCGTCGATCGATGAGCTGAAAGGAAGAGAGACTGTAAAATACAGACTGTCGGAACTCCGCGCCTGGGGGGGCAACGAAGATCAAAGAAATCCACGCAGACTGTCGAACGTTTCTGTTTCTGCACGTTTTGCTCCTCGAGCGCTGGCGCCCGACCTCCAGACCACTTCCTCCGGGACTGCTCCTTCATCCCGAGTCGCTGCTCGATGCCCCCGAGGCTCGCTAAGGGTCCCGAGAGGCCGACAACACGGACATGGCACCGCCTCGACCCTTTCGAGACGCCAAGATGTCGGGTTGACACGTTTGGTGTCGGATTGACACGTTTGGTGTCGGGTTGACGTTTGGTGTCGACCGTGGAACCTCTCCGCACTCTTGGGCGACCGGGAGCGGAGCTGCAGCGTAGCCTGCTTTTCGACGAGGTCGCCAGCGTGTTGCGCCAAGACGTCTGGGAGCGAGGTGCCCGCGCTCGGCGGCTGGGTCGATCGGCGCAGCTCGACGTCCGGGCGTGCGGCCTCCACGCCGGCCGCCCGGGCGGGCACGTGCCGCTCGGTGGCCAGACGCCGGCGGTGCGCCCCGCTCGGCCAGCCATCTCCTCGTAAGGGACCAGGGGGGAGGGCACAAACAACTCATCACGGATGCCAGGGTGCCAGTTTCTCCCCACTTCTATGACTTGTGTGATCCCCCTCCGTTTCAAGTATTCTCCATAACTTGGAAGAACTCAGCGTTTATGTGTGTGTGCGACTATTTGTCCTCCATGGTCCTCTCCAAGGGCTCCCAACGTCGCGCTTCGCGCTGCGCGAAGCGCGAAGTGCGAATAACTTCGCGCTCTCGCGCCGCCTCCCAGGGGAGAAGAGGAGGACGAGGAGGAGTCGGAGCCGAAGCGCGAAGCGCGAATAACTTCGCGCCCTCGAGGGCGCCCTTGCTCTTCCTTCTCCTCACCCTCCACATCTGCTCCCCCAGCCGAGGGCCAGGCCCTGGGACCGTCCACAAACGACTCGGGATGGTCCCCTTCCTTCTCCTCCACCTCCACCTCTACCCTTACGTCGGGCCTGTCCCCCTACAGGGGGATTTGCGACGAAAATTTCAAAATACTCAAAAAATAGTTCAAAGATGCCCACACGTACTCAAAAAATATCCCCCAGAGTATATTTGTTTTTTTACTATTTTTGAATATTCCCCCTGTAGAGGGACAGGCCCGCCTTAACTCTACCCCAAGCATGCTCGCGCCGTGAACAAAAATCACGACAGTTGTTCAGGGGCCCTCGCTGGGCCCCAGGACCGTCAACAAACGACTCAGGATGATCCCCTCCTCCACCTGCACTTCCACCCCCAAGCATGCACGCGTCGAGCACAACAAACCACGGGATGTGCTTGTAATGCGTTTGCCCGTTATCGACTAAGGGCCCTTCGCCGGGCCCAGGAACCGTCAAAAAACGACTCAGACCGTCGAAACCGTCGAAAACGGGCCCTGGGGAAAGGGTCAGGAATTCTAGGGGGCCCGCATGGAAGAAAAACAATACATCGTATGTCTGGGCCTCCTCCCTCCTGCGGCATCCCCTTCCCGCTCTCCCCGCCGGCCGCGTCCTTGAGGAGGAGAAGGCAGGAGGATGGGAAGAGGGAGGGAGGCAGGCAGGGGGAGAAGGAATATGGGGGGCGCAAGACGGCGCTGCACGATACCTGGTGGGGCGGACTCCCGAAGAAACAACGATCCGCCATCCGACGCTACAAGACAGGCCATCGTAGCGACTCCAGCGCCGCCGCCGCAGTTGCTGCTGGGCCCCGTCTGGGCACGCACTCACGGTCGAGGACGAACGTGTTGTGGGCAGGACGGTGCAATGACTGTGGTGACGATGGCGTCGCCGACATCCAAACCTCCGACGTCGGGATGCGCTCACGTCGACGAATCATGAGGGGCATGGCTCTCGCCCATCGGGCCTGGAGCGGGCCTATGGAGGCTCAAACTCACAAGACAAGCTTGTTATTTTTGTCAAAGCGACGGAGATCTGTGCACCGTGGGCACATGCTATAAGACATCTTGCTATAAGAAACCTTGGGACACATTCTTCGTCGACGGAAGAGGGTCCAAGGTGCCCCCGAGCGTCTGTGGGTCCCTGGGGCCATCACGTGAGAAAAAACTGCCGCGGTGCACCCGCTGGCAGGCGAATCGCCTTGTTTACAGCACACGGTTTCGCGCGATGACGTGGCGTCGGCGCGATGCTAATGCCGGCGGCGTGGGTGCAAAGAGCGGCGCCGCCGGAGCCAGCAATGGGGAGAGCCGCGGCGGCAGAGGGAGGGGCTGCGGTGGCCCTGTAAGTCCAGAGTCCATCGTCGGAGGCAGGAGCTCGGCGGAATCGCCTGCAGGGCGGGGGGGGGGGGGGGGGCAGACGCGCAGGAAGGGAGGGGGATGAGTGGGAAGGGTCAGTCGGACGCCCCAGTGCATCGGCCTGTGCGCCGATCGCGGGTTGACTCTTACTGCCCCAGAACCAAGGTAGGGGTAGGAACGTCAAGGGGGGAGGGAGGAGGAGAGGTGGGAAAATGGGGTACTACCACCTGGACTCTCGAAGCAAGTGAACTTGCCCCGCGGGGCTGTGGCCGCCCCGCCGCGAACGCCGAAGGTTCACGACAGAGGACGAAGTACGACAATTTCCGCGACGATGGGGAAAGATGTATGGCAGTTGTGGGTACTGTTTCGTGGCTCGGCGAACGATAAAACGAAGGAGGAGGAAGCGGTGGAGGAGGAGGAAGAACAATATAAAAGGAATGCGGCATGCGGATAACAATGACGATGACCCTGCCACCGCACCCCGACGTGTGGCCAGACAACTACCCCAATCTACATCAGAGCATCTCTGTTTGGACGGGCGCAGCGAAAGATTTCACGAACAGACTCGATCGGAACATCTCGTCCCAACTGGATTCACAAACAGTTTGGGAAGTTCCCCGCCAAGCGGGGCGGGTGTGGAGGGAGCTTGGGCAAGGAAAAGCCACAAGAGGCAGGGTCGGCAAGGGAGTCAAGAACAGGAAGAGCCGACCCCCCGCGCAGCCGCGTGCAACCAGACACGTCTATCCTTCTACATATGAGCAAATCTCTTTGGACGGGTGCAGCGAAAGACTTAACAAACGGACTTGAACGACACCTCTCGTCCCCAAAATTGCCCGACTTAGCGTGTGGCCCACGTCAGCACACAAGTCGGGAGGAGACTATTCACTTGAACTCTGTCGGCGCCATTTCTGATTCATCAAGCCGTCCAGACAACGGAGCCCCAAATAACGAAAACAGCGAGCCAAGGGTCTCGGCTAATTTCAGACCGCGCGGACACCGCAGGGCGCAGTCAATGACAGGGCCCGGAAAAACCGAAGGACAGGGCCCGGAAAAACCGAAGGCCACGACAGATTTTCATGCCACCCGCGGCCATACAAGCTACAGTGCGAAATCGCAATGGACCACATGGTGGCGAGAAGGCGGGGGCCTTGAAAGCCTCGGTCCCGTACGGGAGCGGCTCCGGCGTCTTCGCCACGACCTCGGACCACTTCCCGACCGCCACCTGCGCCTCGCCCAGCAGCGCCAGGTAGCTGACGCGCTCGCTGTGGCGCAAGCTGCTGTTCGGGCTGGCGCGGCGCAGCCGCTCGCTGATGCCCGACAGCGACGCGCCGTGCATCGAGGCGGCGTGGCTCGCCGCCCCCCCGCGGACCTAGGCCGCCGCCGTGGGGGCGCCCGGCAGGGCCCCCAGCCGCCCGCAGGCGATGGTGGGGCCCTCGGACAGCCGCAGACGGGAGCCCAGAGCCTGCGCGCTGCCCTGTCGCTTCAGCGCGTGGCCGCCGCCCTGCCCCTGCGCCGAATCCAGGCGAATCGCCCCTCGTCGGCGCCCGCGATCTTGCCCCGCACCTCCAGCGAGCTCGGGCGCAGCAGGGGCGTCCAAACTGGCCGCGAGCTCCGCCTAAGCCTGATCGGCGCCTCCGAAGTCATGCCGACGTGGTCTGAGGGCAACCGCGGCATGCCGCCCCGGGCCAGCCGCAGCGCCGCGGCGAACTGCAAGTCCTTCAGCAGCAGGCTGACTCCGATCACGGCCAGCGGCTCCCGCGACTGACCGGCTCGCTGGCGGTGGCCCGCCATGGCCGCCCGCGGCCGCCCCCGGGCTCGGCCGGAGAAGCCGCGGCGCTGCTGGCCGCCAGGGGCGCTCTCCCATGTCCGCGCCGTCGAAGCGAGGGCTTCCGTGCACTCGGCGGCCAGCGGAAGTTCCGCGTTCGCTCCCCTCATGAAGGCGCGACGCGTGAGCGGTTGGAGCTACTGGCATCGCGGCGGCTGCCGGGCTCGCCGTCGGCCCCGGACTCGCCGTCGGCGCGACCTCCTAGCGGGCCCGCCATGACACCATGGGCTCGGCAGCGCCCTCGGCGGCACGGTCGAGCCCAGGCCGCCCCCGCTGCTCGACGTCGCCGAGAACGCGGGCGGCCTCGTCGCAGTCCCGCCGGGCGGCGATCTCGCCGAGGGCTCGGGCCCGCGTCGCTGCAGCGCGAGTCCGCGCCTCGTCGCCCCCGCCGCCGCCGCCGGCGCGCCGGCCGTCAAGCTCGCGGGAGACTGGCTGGCGCCCGACTGTCCGACTGCCCTCGTCGGTCGAACTGAACTCGCTTGGGGGCAAGCGATCGACTGCGGACGAACCCAGCGGGATGCTCGAGGCGGCCAACTCTCTGCGCGTCTGATGCAAACGCGCAGTGGGATCACCATCCGTCTCCGCTGCCAGCGATAGGCTCGCATTATCGCGCGGCGACAGGATGGCGCGCAACAAGGATGCCGCGCTGCGGAGGCGGACAGGATGACGCGCAACAAGGATGCCGCGCGGCGGAGGCGGCGGCGCGCGCCAGCAATTCAGGCGCGACCTCCCAGACGAGCGATGCGTCGGCGCCGATCACGCTGGAGAAGTCGCCGCCCAGCGAGCGCTCCGCCTCGCGAGCAGGTCTGCGCGCTGGCACCGAGCGCCCCATGTCCTGCTCATCGTCGCGGTTGGCCCTGAGAGCGCGGCGGCGCGCCTGCGCCGAGCCCGCCGCGTGGAAGCGCCAGAGCTTCGCGCGCGCCGCCGTCGCCCGCTTCCAGGGCACCGCTCCGCGACCGCGAAACCACCGAAGCCGCCCCCGTCGGCTTCCCCCAGCCCGCCAAGGCGTCCACCGACTGAGAATGGCCGCCAGCGCGTCGCGGCCCAGCAGCGACAGCATGTCGTCGCCGCTGCAGAAGCCGCGGCCCGCCGCCTCCAACAAGACCGGCCGCTCGCAGGCGCCGTGCGCGGCCCTCCCTCGCGGAGATGCGCCCCGCGGCGCAGTTGAACGCCAGGCCCGGTGAATTTCTGGGCCCAAGCGTCTGAGGAGGTGCCTTTGCACTTCAGGCTGCTTCTCTCCAGCTGCTGACGCGCCGCGGCCGCGGTGAAACCCGCCGACTCGCGGCCGCAGCTGGCCGCGGCCACGCGCCGCCAACGCTGGCAGAAGTGCAGGCCCCAACTCCATACCATTGGCAATGCCGAAAATAGCGGCGACGCGCCCGTCAAGTCCGCGGTGCCCAGCTCCAGCGCAGGGCAAAACTTCGCGCGCGCATCCGCCGCCATTTGAGGCGGCGAAAACGTCGCACCAACGCCCCGCGGGAACTTGATGCGACGGGCCGCCTCGACGTCCACCTGGCCCGCAAGTAGGGCATCCGAAGCCGGGAAAATCTAGGCCGCGCCAGACGCCCGCCAATCGCAACGCCGCGGTGTCAGACTCCGCGAATTTCTAGTTCGCAGCACGCGCGTCCAGGATCAGCCTCAACAGGTCGCCTGATTTCTCCACAGGGACAGTCCCACTGAAGCCTTGCATGGCGTGTAAAATCGAAACGTGCCCGCAGAATGCATTTCGTCCAAGCAGCGTTCGCAGTGGCGAGGAGACCGCTTCAGCTTCTCACCGAAGGAGGGCGTGACAATCTCTCGATCCTGACCGGGGCCACGCAGCAAGCGCCGACGCCATTCGTGCTACAACTCGCGAGGATAACCCGCAGACGACTCCGAGGCGTCGCGTTTGCAGGCGTCACTGGGTAAACTCACGCGACCTTCGGTGCGCGCGATGGACTTCGCCGGGCTGCGGTCGTCGGTCGTAGCCCGGGGAGCTTCGGCACAGCTCCACAAGGGTCGTCGCCGATGTGCATGGGGGCCTGCCAAAGGCCTCAACTCGCTCACTCACTTGCTCAAAGCTAAGGCTCTGGCCCAAGGAAAGAGCGCTGAAACCGCTTGACACGTCGCGGCCGCACCGCCAGTTCACGCTGTGAGTAGCCTGGGCAGCGCAGCGCAAAGTGCATAGTCTCCGATGAGCTTTGCTACGACAGTGACGAGCTGAGGAGTGGAAGCCGTCGAAATTCCCCTCGCCCCGTAGCCCGCGGGGGCAGGGGGCAGCTCCCGCGGCGCAGACATCCCTCCGAAGACTTTTCCTGCAGCGCCCTCTGGCGCTGCTGCGCTTGACTTACCATCCCCTTTGGGGTCGGCCGCCGCCAACTTATCCCTCGACGCCTTACTCCCGCTAGCCGGCTTGCCTACGCGACTCTGAAGCCCATCATTGTCGCCGCGCCGCCGCCGTCGCGACGAGCAGTGATCCTCTCCTCCCGCACTTTGCGCCTCTCTTTCAAACCACTTGCCTCCTTGTGGAGTTCGTCGGTCACGTAGGCGGACAGGACCGGGGAGATCATGATCAAGCCCCTCGTGTCGGAAGTGCCAAAATAGATGTGCTCATCATCGGCGAGGTCGTCGGCGGCTGTGCCCATGCGATGCAGGTAGCGGCCGCGACACTGGTACGAGATGATCCGGGCCTTGCGGCATATGCGCCAGAATATTGATAGCTCCGATACATTGAGCTGGTCAAGCTGGATGCCAATCTAGAGCAGCCTGATACCGAACTCGTGAAAGTCGACCCCAGAATCCGTGGCCGCCAAACCTGGCCAGCTCGGCCAGGTAGTCTCCGTCAGCAGCTTCACTCCCTCACGAAGCCCCGGATGTCGTCCGTCACCCGCCGTCTCCGTCAGCGTCAGCACCCTCGCGCCCACCGCTATGTCAGGACTGCCGTGCTGGATGATGAAGGACGCCTTCGCCGCGCGAGCCACGCTCACGCCCTCGCCGATGATCCCAGCGTCCACGTTGAGGCTGGAGAGCTTCGCGGGGCTGGACAGGTCGCAGTCCGAGATGCTGCACCAACCTTTCCCGTCAGGGCCAGGAATTGTCTGCCCGCTCTCCCACTCAGGCAAAACCAAAGCTAAGGCCGCCACTGCCTCCAAGAATTCGGTGGGTTCGGTGCTCCGGTCGCTGCCGTACGTCCTCGGGTTGCCTCCTGGACCCGTGCCAACCACTGCTGCGCGGTCCCTCCGCTCTTGGCGGACTTTCACCGCGCCCCTTGATCACGTTTTCCACTCAGAACGTGAGGATACGTGTTGCCGTCGGACGTGAGCACGGATAACAACTCGCTTTTCATTTTCATCTCTGCTCCTGCTGGAAGACCTTACCCCATGATGCTTGTGTAGTCGCTCTCGGTCGTGACGCCCATGGTGACGCGAGCCTGCCATGAGCCGCCAGCTTCACACTGAACCTCCACTCTATCTCCGATATCCCACGTGACGGGAGCAGCAACACCAGCCTTCGCCCGAGCCGAACAGGTAGCCCAGCAGGAACACCACGACGAAGACGGTGCCCGCGGCGATCCGCGCGCCGCCGAAGATCTGGACGGCAAACGCGAAGGTGACCGCCTCGGCTATTACCTCCTCGCTGTTCACGAGCCTGCCCGCCGCCTAAGATGCAAGGCCAATCCACCCCTGAACGAGAGCTGACATGGGCCGCGGATGTTTACTCAGCTTCAGCGAATTTTGGACGGAGCCAGCAAAGGCAAAACGAGGCAGGGTCGGCAAGGGGCTCCAGCACAGGACACGGAGGAGGAGGAGGACGAGGAGGAGGAGGAGGAGGAGGAAACAGAGAAACAGGAGGAGAGACACAATAGGTCGGAGGACGGGAGCGAGGACAAGGAGGCTGGGAATAAGGAGGAGGTGGAGGAGGAGATGAAGGCAGTGGGCAAGGAGGCGGCTGAGGAGGAGGACGGGGCAGGAGGAGGAAGAGGAGGAGAAGGAGGAGGAAGAGGGGAAGGAGGGGAAGGAGGAGGAGGAGGAGGACGGAGGAAAGAGGCGAGAAGGAGGACGCGGGGAATGAAAAGGATGGAGGACGGGGGCGAGAACGAAGAACTTGTTGGGCGTCTCGGCAGCCGCAGCTCTCGCTGCCCGACACTGGCGACGGCCCTTCGAGAGGTCTCCAGATGGGATCCCCGAGCGCGGCTTCGCCCTGGGCTCGCCGTCGCCTCCAGTCGTCGCCGCCGTGGGGAACCGATGCCGCGTCCCCCCCAAGCTGGGCGTCCTACGCGAGAGAGACCCACCGATCTGGGCGAACGGGCCCGTGACAGACCCCACAGCGCCGCCGCCGGCTCTGGGATGCCCAGGTGCGATGCTCGCTGCGTCGCGAGGGTGACGGGGCTCGGCAAACAGGCGCGCGCGTGCCCTTCCCCAGAGAGCGAGCCAACCTGGATCCGAGTGAACCTGTGTGCGAGCGAGTCTGGGTGCGAGTGCCTCGGGGCGTGAGTGGGTCTGAGTGGGTCTGAGTCTGAGCCTGAGTCTGGGTGGGCCTGAGTACGAGTCAGACGGGGTATGTGCGAGTCTGAGCATGAGCCAGGCTGACGGTGAGCGGGTCTGAATATGTTTGGGCTTGAGAATGAGTGGGAGGAGGGAGGGGGGAGGCGGGAAGCAAGGAGGAAGAAGGAGCAATGAGGTGGAGGCAGCACGCGAATAACAGTCCGGCCACACTGAGGATATCATACACATGCGACCACCTGTGTACCCAGCTTTCGTCCAGGTCACTGCGGGCGGGGTAACTCCACTTGCAAAGGCTTGAGGGTATTACTCGCTTCGGGCTTCGGCTGCAGGCGGGGCAGCTCCTCTTACAGACGACTGATGTTTAGCTTCTATCCACCACCTCATCGTCATCATTTTGCTTCCTTCCTCGTCCTTCCTCCTTGTATTCCTCCTGCTCGTCGTCTTCCCCCCCTTGTCCTCAACCTCCTTATCATCCTCACCATCCTTCTCCTTCTCCTTCTCCATCCTCCGTCCTCCGTCCTCCTCCTTGGTTATCTGCCTCCCCTCTGCTTTCCCATTCACGCTCTCCCTTGTCATAAACTATTGTTCCTCAGCCTCTACCTCCTCCTCCTCCTCCTCCTTCTCCTCCTCCCCTCGTCCTCCTCTACCCGCGTCCTTCTCCCCCTCCCTCCCCATCCTGCTCCACCAGTTGTCCTCGCCATCCTTCCTCCTCCTCCTCCTCCTGATACTGAGCTTCCTCCCCCTCCTCCTCCCCCTTCCACCCCTCTTCTTCCTCGTCACCCTGCCCTAACCCCTCCCCTCCTCCTCCTCCTCCTCCTCCTCCTCCTCCTCCTCCTCCTCCTCCTCCTCCTCCCCTCCTCCTCCTCCCTCCTCCTCCTCCTCCTCCTCCTCCTCCTCGCCCTCGTCGTCCTCCTCCTGCTCCTGCTCCTGCTCCTGCTCTCCTCCTCCTCCTCCTCCTCCTCCTCCTCCTCCTCCTCCTCCTCCCCCTCATCCTCCTTATTCTCCACTCCCACTCATCCTCCTCATTATCGTCCTCTGCATTGCTCCTCCTCGTCTACCCCATCCCCCCCGCTCTATCCTCCTCATCCCTCTCCCCGCCCTCCCGGTCACCGCCCACGGTCGGGAGGCTGGCCGCGGCGACAGGCGTCACGCCGTCGACGTCGCTGAGGGCGCGCGCGACGACGACTGCGACACGCGACTGCGTCTGCGACTGCGACTGCGACGGCGACGACGCCGACGACGCCGACGACGACGACGACGGCGACGACGACGGCGACAAGGGCGGCGGCGCCGCCGCTGCAGCCAGGGGGGCACAATGTTGAGGGGAATCGATAGGGGGGAACCAGCTCAGGGGGAGAAGCATCGACCTGGCATCGGTGACATCGCTGACAGGTCGGCGACAGGTCCCCGATGGCAAAACCGCACGTTCCTGGGCGGGGTGGGCCATCCGGCCTCCATCGGCGATGCTCGGGCGATTCGGGGTCGATGCATCCCCCCCCCGAGCCCTATCTTCCCCGAAAGCTGCCCCTGGAATTCTCTTCCTCCTTGTGCCGTGAGCACAGCCGCGGCGAGCGGTGATCGGCCAGGCCCGAGACCGTCAGGAAACAGTTCGGGGTGAGAAGCCGGTCCTCGGGCCCAGGTCTTGACTTCAGAGGGCCCACGCTGCAGCAAAATAAACGGCGCCGGAGGTCCGGATCAGGGCCACGCGTCTGTTCCTCATCCTGCTGGCTTGTACCCTCGACCTTCGAGGATCGAGGGGAGAGAGCACTCGGGGGATCCGTTTTCGGCGTTTCTGGCCATTTCTGGTCTGAGGGCCTCCTGGGGGGGTAACCCTAATGATGGAGGGTGCGCCGCTGGATCTCCCCAGGGGGGGGGGGTTAGGACCCCCCTCCCCCCCCCCCCCCCTTCCCCGATCCGTCGTCGGGACCCCCCCCTCCCCCCCCCCCCCCCCCCTCCCCCCCTTTCGCCACGCCGCCCCGTGACGCCGGAACCCGACCCCCGCACCCCTACCCCTAGTCCTCACCCTAACCCAACCCCCTAATCCTAACCCCCCAGCCCCAAAGAGTATCCACTACTCATTACTCACTACCCACTACTGACTACTCGGTATTCGCTACTCACTTCTCACTACCCCGTACTCACTAGTCACGACTCAATACTCACTATCCACTACTCACTACCCTCGACCCACTACTCGCTACTCACTACTCCCTACTCACTACTCCCTCCTCCCTACTCACTACGCACTCCTCACTACCCACTACTCAATACTCACTAATCATAAGCACTACTCACTACTCCCTATTCACTACTCACTAATCACTACTCATTACCCACTACCCACTATCCACTACTCACAAATCACTACTAACTACTCAAAGCCCACAAATCACTACTCAATACCCACTACTCGCTACTCGCTACTCCCTACACAATACTGACTACACAGTACTCAGTACTCGCTATTCGCTACTTCCATACTCGCTACTCAATACTCACTACTCACTCTCCGCTACTCACTATTCACTACTCACTACTTACTCCCTACTCACTAGTCACTACAAAGTCTCTAGTCACTAGTCACAACTCACTAGTCAGTACTTACTACCCACCACTCACCAATCGCTACTCCCTCTGCACTATTCGCTACCAACTTCTTCCTACCCACTGCTCACTACTCCCTACTCCCTACTACTACTCACTACCCACTACTCACTACTCGCTACTCCCTACTCGTTACTCACTAATCACTACCCACTACTCACTACTGACCACTCTCCACTCACTACTGACTACGCCCTACTCGCTCCTCACTACTCACTACTCGCTACTCCCTACTCGCTACTCACTACTGACTTCCCACTGCCACTACCCACTACTTTCTGTTCATCACTACTCACTACTCACTACTCACTAGGCACTACGTACTACTGAGTACTCAGTACTCAGTACTCAGTACTCACTACTCACTACTCAGTAGTCAGTACTCACTAATCACTACGCACTATGCACCACCCACTACTCACTACTCACTAATCACTACTCGCCACCCACTACTCATTACCCACTACTACTCACTACCCACTGCTCATTACTCCCTACCCCCTACTCAGTGCTCACTACTCGCTACGCGCTACTCACTACTCACTACTCGCCACTCACTACTCACTTATCAGTACACGCTACTCACTATTCACTACTCACTACTCCCCACTCCCTACTCCCTACTCCCTACTCGCCACTCACTACCCACTACTCACTACCAATTACTCACTAATCACTAGTACTCACTACCCAATACTCACTACTCACTACGCACTAACTCACTACTCACTACTCACCACTCCCTACTCCCAACTCCGTATTCCCTACACGAGAAGCCCCCCCCCCCCCCAACGCCAAGAGGGGGGGGGGGGAGTCCGGACCCCCCCCCCCTTCAAGGGAGGGGGGGGGGAGGGGTTCGGGACCCCCCCCCCCCCCCCCTTAAGGGGGGGAGGGGGGGGGGGCGGACCCCCCCCCCCTTGAAGGAGGGAGGGGGGGGGGTTCTGGACCCCCCCCCCTTTAGTGTATTCAGGGAGATCCACTGGCGCACTTTCCTAATGATGTCCGTGGGCAAGGATCCTTGGCGGCATCAAAACCTCCTCCTCCTCCTCTTCCTTCTCCTTCTCCTCCTCCTGGGCAAATGAAGAGGAGAAGGCGGTGAAGGTTGTCAGAAGTGTTCGGACATGTGCAGCGGATGTCAGAAAGTTCTCGGGGACCTCCGACGATGTGTGGGGGTTTCTGGAGAAGCAGCAGGCGGCAGAAAGAAGGGGAGGATGATGCAGGATGAGGAGGAGGTGGAACGAGGAGGAGGGAGAGGAGCATGGCGAAAGAGGGGAAATTGAATGCTGAGACCTCCTCCGCACTCCTCCCCCACCCGTCTTCCGCGTCGGGGAGGAGGCGGGGTGGGATAAATGTAGAGAAGGCAGGCGTCGGCGGGAAGTCGGATGCAGGGATATCCTTCTCCGCCGCCGCCTCCTCCAGGTGGGAGAAGAGGAGCAGACAAAGGAAGATGGCGAAGGACGGGAAATGTAATGCATGGACATCTTCCTGCTCCTCCACCCCACGGAGGGGGAGAAGGCGAAAGAAGGAGGAAGAGGTGGGCGGAGGAGGAATGAAGAGAGGGGAGGAGGCGGAGTCTGATTTGGGAACCTCCTCAAAAAGCCGACTGGCTGTCCTTCACCTCCTCCGTCTGCTCCTCCTGATGTTATTACTCCGCTCCGTTCTACTACTACTCCTCCTCCTCCTCCTCCTCCTCCTCCTCCTCTTCCCCCCTTCCTGGATTTCCCGTTCTACTTATCATCTTCCAACTCCTCCTAATGTTCCTGCACTTCCCCGTCCTCCTGCTCATTCTCATGGGAAAGGGGGAGAAGTAATAAGAGGACGAGGGGGGGCGAGGAGTGGGAGAAGGAAGAGAGCTGAGGATGACCAGTGCTGCGAGGAGCGGGAGAAGGTGGGCAAACATTAATGGGAATGGGGCTCAAGGTAATGGGGGATGAGGAGAAGCAATCGGATGAGATGAAGAAGTGGGGCAAATGAATGCAAATACAAGCAGAAGGATTGCGGTAGGAAGTCGCGGTGCTCGAACCAGTTCGCGCGTGTCAGTCTGCATTGCGCTCGCGGGGGTGTACAAGCCGGATGTTGTTCAAGCCGTTCAAGGGAAACATGCATATCCTGTATGCGAGGTGCCCACTTGGTCGACCCTTCAAAACACTCAGTGTGATTTTTGATTCACGTATGGACATGCGTTTGGCGGTGCGGCGCTGTGCCACAGAAGCCAGTTGGCGCCTCCGAGCACGGCTCTGGACGCGGCGATTCTATGGGTTAAAGAGATGATCAGAATGTACAGATGCTACGTTCTGTCGAATCTCCAGGGCGACACTCAAGCTGCCCATCGTCTACCACGCCAAAACCGACATTCTGAAGCAGGTCGACGACCTGCAATCTTGGTTTTCGGACGATGTTGGCTTATCGACAAAGATACCTATGCGAGATCAGAGCCGTGATCCGTTATGCATGCGCCGTGATGTCGCTGTACTGGGGTTGCTGAACAAAGTTGCTTCAGGCCTTGCTCCTCCTCTCTTTCGGCGATTCTCCGCCCAGGTGTCGGCCATCTTGAACCTTTCGGTTTCGCAGCAGCTCGGATTTTTCACGATAAGGCGCTGTTTGACCCGATCGAACCAAGTCACCCAACCATTCTGCGGCAATCCGTTTCTTGGAATCATATGCGTGTTCAACCGGCTGCCCAACGATACCGTGAACAATCGGACTGCCCAGGCATTCCAGAGGAGGCTTCAACACAAAACCAAGACCTCGGCCGACCTGCTGGGCTGGCAGAAGATGTTCCGCGCAGGTGTGTACATATGAGCTTGCTCTGCCATGTTGAACTGTTGTGAGGGTTTGTCGTAGAGAAAAGGACGGTGTGAGAGGGCGGAGGACGTGAGTGGAACCGCTGCAGGAGCAGCAACTGTGGCGTCATCCTCGCGGCCCCTTACGTCGCGATTGTGTAATGCCGTGCAGATATGCTGCCTCTACCCGTCAAGAGCCCCGACCGCGCGTGGAAGACAGCCCGACAACATCCTCCCTTGCCGCGTGCGTTCGCAGTCTGGAAGGACCCAGAGGTCTCTGGAGGCATCCCGAGGCCTCAAGCAAAGCCAAAGACATCCCTCACCCTCCGAGCTCCTTCGACGACGGCGACAGAAACGACAATGAAGGCGACGGCGACGACGACGACGACTACGGCGACGACGACGGCGACGGCGACGGCGACGGCGACGACGACGACAGCGAAGATGCGGACGCCGACGGCGATGTTGCCGAACGCGCAGAGCGCGCGCCGCGCGAGAGGCAGGTCGGGGGGAAGGAGGGGGGGCGGGGAGGAGTCGGGGGCGGCCGGGGGGGCTGCCGCGGGAAGAGGGTGCGCTGGATGCTGGCGCGGACCAGTGCTGAGCCCTGCCGTCGCTCGTCGGGGTGCCGCGGAAGCGTGGGCAGGGCGGGGGCGAGGATCCGAGGGTCGACCGGGGTCGAGGTCGAGGGTCGACCTTTCTTGGGGGCTAGGTGTGGGGCCCGTTTGGGGGCCCTGTAGGGGCGCCCTCGTGGTCAATGAACCGCGCCCAGGTGTTAGCGTCCTAGCTGGGCGCGGTCCAGAAAGGCGGCCAGGCTGGACTCCTGAATGGTCCGGGGAGCGGTTTGAGCGGAAACGGCAGGGCTCTGTGGACTCGCCGAGCTGGCTCGGAAAAACCTGCGTCATGAGCACGACTACGAAGAAGTCGTGCCAATTTTTCCAGGCGCATCCATGGACATGTCTTGCATGTTTCATCCCAAGTATCTTCTGGCGGCAGTGCAACTGCCCCTTCCAAGGCGGAATCGGCTGAATATCACGGCCAGCTACTGCTGCCCGATCGTGATCATGTCCTTCCACGATTTCCTGTCCCGCCGCCTGTAGCACCGCAGACCTCTGCGCCGACCGGGCGTATTGTATGACGCAGAGGTCTGAAATTCGGAGGCCGAGCCGGACCTGTCGAGGTCCGCGGTGCTTCGGCGGCGTATGGTAGGCACATCATGAAGGGGCCCAAGGACACACACACACATAAATACACACAAATAACAGGATGTCCCATATGTTTCCATATTTTTTGGATGTTCGTCTTCCACCCCACTTCCCATATTTTCGCATATTTTCCGGGGAATCGGCGATCAATAGTGCCTGTGTGTTTTCCCCTCCTGACGTCGGTTGATATATCGACCTGCCAGCAGCTGGCCCACGAACATGTCGTATCCCCTCGGAGTGGCCCTGGGGACCCGCAGGAGCTCTGGCGGACCGCCAAAGATCGGCGAAGAATGCGCCCCAAGATTCACTCGAGCAAGATGCTTTGTCGTCTGTGGACTGTTCTTCGGCACATGAGGTGGAGTCCACGTGTTGACAGGGCGAGTGCGCATAGTCAATGCGATGAGCCCGCTTCAGCAGCCCGAGGTCGTCGCACCTGCTCTCTCTGGCTGCAAGCAGGGCCGTCCCCAAAACTCCAGACCTGCAACAGCTACACGAGGCCCGGTGTAAAGCTGCATCTGTGCACGGGGGAGTGCCGCCACCGTGGTCCTCTGATGGCTCCCCCCCGCCCGACAGGCCGGGCCCTCTTAGATTGAAAGAGAAGGGCTTCCGCCCCGTCTGGCACACCTGCATACCGCGCTCGCCAGGCCCGCAGTGTGCTGGTGCTCCCTGGGGATCCCGCATCCTGCCTGCGACGAATGGCGGCTGCAGGCCTCGGCCTCCAGGCCTAAAGTGCGCCAGGGCTCCCTGAGGATTCCGCCTCGCTCTCTCGGGTAAGGGAGCGCTCGGAGTCCAAAAGAAGGGCGCGCGAAGCTAGTACGCCAACGGATCCGGGGTCCCGTGGCCGGTGGGTGCAAAATATGGAAGGTTGCAGGTCGCCTGCCTCGCCTCGACAGGATCAGGAAAGCGCCAGGGCACGGGCCTTGGGAAGAACCTCCAGTGGAAAGACCCACCACGTCTGCATGCTCGCAGTCCCCACCTCTGGCAGGATGCTGTCGCCACCCCTGAGAGGCGAAGCGCGAAGGGCCGAACCAGAAGGGCACAAAGCCAGCGACGCCCTTCGTCGGTGTGAAGCCGCCCTCGCTCCCGCCTCCATTTGCGGTCGGTAACTGTTACCCGGCGGGCCGCGGCGGCCCCGGCGACACGCTATGCCGTGCAAGCGGATAGCGTGTTGCTCCGCTCCGAGGGGTGGGAGGTTGCGAAAAGCTCGAAGAGCTTGGCAGGTTGACGCTTGGGGATTGGGGACGTGGTTAGCGTGCCGCGCCGAAGCGTGGTGGGCAAAAACCAGCGGCGCGACAAGCGAAGCAGGAGTTCATGACAGTATCCCTCCCTCCCTCCCGCTCCACCCTCCAGCCCTGTTCCAACTTGGTAGCAGGCGCACCTGGTTTGTGCTGCTGCTGACATCGCAGCAACTTTCCTCGTGCCTGCTACGGTAGGTCTCCTGACCCAATCTTGTGAAGGGCTGGCGACCCTTGCAGAGGTACGGTACCCCCCCCCCCCGGCTCCATTCATCTCGACCGGCTGCCAGAGCGGCGCGTGCCCGGTCAAGCCAGCAGTGCGACGCTGGTGCGCGACGCTCGAGGCGCCGCACTGCGCGGCCACGCTCGGACGGCGCAGACGAGGCCTTGCTGGCACCGCGGCCCCACGACCTGCAGCACCGACCGGCAAGACGCTGGAGGTCCAGGGACGATGGGGGCCAGGCCTCCACCCCGGCAGGCGTGCCGTCGACCTGCACACCTTCCAGGGAGACGTGGAACAGACTGTGGGCCCTGCTCAGTGGGCCTTGGGGGCGGCAAGGCAACTCTTATCACGCTACCAGTTCCGCGCATAAGTTTCCTTTGTCTGGTCCCGTCGCATTGTTTCCCCTATTCGGGTTCCGCTTCCGATTCCGGCGCAGTCGTCTGCGACATTTCAGTGAACGTTGTTTTACCGTTGCCAGGCTCAAGAGCCAGAGTCTGGAAACGGGAAGATACAAAGGCCTCGCCGTTTCCCAGGCGCACTAGCCCCGTGGCCACGTTCTGGCGGCGAAGGCGAGCGACTGCCGCCAACCCCGGGGCCTCTGGCTGCCTCGAGTAGCTGTCGCGGACTGGACATGCCGATCGCCCGCGGGCGGCTGAGCGGTGCCCCCCAACCTTGCTCCGCCCTGCCCCACCCCCTCTTGGCCGGAGCTCCACACTGTCTCCGCCTCTCCCTCCCCTCCCTCCCCCACCCCCTGCTGCTCCTCCCTCTCTATTTCCTTTCCTCCTCGTCCTCCCTTCCCTCTTCCCTCCCCTGCCCTTCCCCCCTCCCCCTCCCCTCTTCTGACAGCCTCCGTCAGACTCCTTCACGCGACGGAGCCGCTCATGCGAGGTCTCCTTGCGATGGCAGAAGGCCAGCTGTGATGGCTCTGGAAGGACGGATACCGGAAGGAGTCCCGCGCGAGCCTAGCCTGGGCGGGCGGCAGAGTATCTACTTCTTCTTCTTCTTCCTCTTGTTCCTCCTACACCTGTACTCCCTCTATTACCCCTCTTGCTCCTACAATCCCTCTGCTAGTCCCACTCGTGCTCCTCGTCCTACCGTCGTAAGGAGGACTTCCGCTTCCCTCGCATTTTCCACGATAGCGATTGTAAGCAAGGCGTTCCATTCACTCTCCCAGTCAAAATGGACATGCAGCGTTGACGTTTGCCCACCCAGAAAAGACGTGAACAATTCGTCGTTCATTCGTCGTTGCGCACTACGTGGCAGGGGTAGGGCGCTTCGCCGACTTCTCCGCTATGCCGCCGTAATCACCAACAGTGTTTCGCAAGGCAGATGGGCCCCGAGAGAAGCGGGTCCTGGAACCCAGGGCTCCCGCTGGAGCTGACTTGTTTCATCTCTCAGCAGCCCTTTTCGTGGCGGGCGGCGGCCAGCGGCGAGGAAGGGCCCCGGGAGGCCAAAGACGGAGAGAAACCCGAGGACCCATTTCGCTCAGGAGCCCTTTTCCTAGCGGGCAGCGGCCAGCGGCGACGAGTATGGTGCTTTCTGCACTCCGGCGAGGCTGTTCGCTTGCCGCGGCGCCGGCGGCCGCGCGGCGCGGAAGAGCCAGAGCTTGGGTGCAAAGCGGCGAGCTCTGACATCCTCCTCCTCCTCCTCCTCCTCCTCCTCCTCCTCCTCCTCCTCCTCCTCCTCCTCCTCCTCCTCCTCCCCCCCTCCTCCCGCAACAGGCGCGCCTCTCCAGCGGCTGTTCCAGCCCGCGGCCCCAGAACTCCCGACCCCCTTTCCCCGCGGGGCCGGTCTTTCGCCACGGGTCCGTTTTCAGTGGCCCCGGGGCCTGGTCACGGGCCTCCTAGGTGTCCAGATGTAAACCCTATACCCCCACCCCCACGATTTCGAGGCGGGAGGGTGGGGGTAGGGTTCACGTGTGGCCGCCGACCCCTGGGGCCCAAATCGGGGGAAGCAGCGCTGGCTGAACGACAACCAGGTCGTCGGAGACCCGGGGACCAAGGGCGCCTAACTTCGCGCTTCCCGCTGCGCCAAGCGCGAAAAACTTTGCGCTCTCGCGCCGTCCCCGAGGAGAGAGGAGGAGAATGAGGCGGAACCGGAGCCGAACCACGCAGCGCGATGCGCGGATCAGTTCGCGCCCTCGAGGGCGCCCTTGGCAACGTGAGAAAACAATGACATACACATACACTTTCGGAGGTCTGCTCGGAGTTTTTCAGATCGGCGCTGGACTCCACATCCCTTGCGCGCGGAGTGTGCCAAGAAAGGCGCCAAAGGCGACGCCGAGTGGCTCCTGCGCCGATCCGCGAGAGATCGGCGCGGACATCCGAACGTTTATATGTCCGTACCGCTCTCTGTTCCCCGAGGGCGGCCGCGGAGAGGGAGGTGCGCTCCAGCTCAAGGTCGGCAACTTTTTGGGGGGAGGTTGGCCTCTGACTCAGCAGCCTCGGGGTCGAAACACCGCGAAGGGAGGGGGAGGGAGTGCGACTGCGAACCGCTCGGGGATCTTCTGACCCGGGGTCAATCCAGACCCAGGTCAGCAGGAAACCAAAAACTGCAATGCAGGAAACAAAAAACTGCAACGCAGGTCTTCGCAAACCTGGGTCAGCCAATAGGCGCGGCCGCCTCGCGGCCACGAGCGGCTCGCTAACCTGGGTCAGCCAGAGGGGGTCTTCGCAGGATCCTGCAGGATCCAGCGCCCTGGCTGACCCCCTTCTGCAGTGACCCCCGTCTCGAGGCTCCCGAACGGCCACGAAGAGGAGGGTGCCGGGTGGGCGGGCTGCGCGCACTCCCCCCCCCCACGGAAGCCACGGAGGCATCAGAGGCGCGGAGCCGCCGCCCCCGAGCGTGCGGCGACCCCGCCTCGTCGCGGCGGCCTGGGCACCTCGAGCCACCACCGTCGGATGGCAGAAACGACCAACTCTTTGGACGCCCGAAACGGGTACGGAAAGAATGGGTACCATGCCCAACAAGAAATGTTGTCCCAAACCAACAGCGGCCGCTGTTGGGCAGGCGGCCTTCTGTCTCAAATGGACACAGGCCGCGGCGGCGTGGACAGCGAGTCTTGCTCAAAATGAACAAGATCCGCTGTTGGGCATCATACTCATTCTTTCCGTGCCCATTTCGTTCGTGCAGAAACTCCATCGGGGATGCAGTGGTTGGCCGGATCGGGCAGAGACTGGCCAGGCAGATCTGGAGATCGTTAGCGACATCTGCCAGGCCCGCCAGAAGGCTGGAGAGGCAAAGCTACCTGGCACGACTAAGGATTAGGGGCCCATTGGGCCAGATCAGGCCTGATTGAGCCCACGATTAAGCCGGACTGAGCGGAACGAAGCTTAACTGAACGGAATTGTGCTGGATTCGGCCGGCTTTCGAGCGTGGGTATGTCAGCGCCGATGCTGAATTCAACCTCCCAGGAGCTGCATCCTAAAAGAAGTAAGGATCATCGAGAGAAGGAAGAATGGAGGGTGATGGAAAAGGGTGGAGGATAGATATGGAACGCACGCGTGATCACCAATAGTTTAAGAAATGCTACACCTGAAGAGGCTCGAGGAGGCGGAATACATGAGCAATCACATTGGTGGCAGAGCATGGACGGATGGAGAACTCGGCAGTGGGTCCAGGCGCACGCCACGAGAAATGGTCGTGGTCAGAACATCTAGCGCGCAGGATCACGTCCAACTGGGACAGCCCGCGGCCGTCAGGCAATCCACACTCGACCAGACTATGAGCCCGTCATGGGTGCGAGGCTGTGGATCAAGTGGGGGGACGCGTTCACGCAGGACGAAAGATGTTCCTCTTGAGGTGAAAATGACGATGAGGAAATCGCGAGATAACGTCGGCGCCGCCGACCGGACGGCGCCTGGACCAGCTCTTCGCAGCAGCCGGGAGTAGAGAGACGCATTCATGTTGAGTGGGGCCCGCGCGCGCGCGGAGAGTTGATGGGAGTGCGCGAGACAGCGCAGGACCCATCCTGGGCCGTTGATAACCGAAACCCCACTTTCCCCTGTAGAATCTCAACACGGGCGGGCCTGGGGTCCGTGGATCCGATTTTGGGCGGTTGCCTGTTTACATGTAGTCGTATAACTTCAAAACAGGGTACAAGTTGGATCAGCCGTAAAATATGACGATATGCGGAGCCCGAAAACCGAAATCGGATCCACGCAGACAAAAATCGGATCCACCGCAAAACAAATAAACACCATCATCGGATCTGCGAAATTTTAATTGGATTCGCCACTGTTCCTCAAATACATGTCCGTGCCCACTTGAAACCGCCGTCTGGGAAAAACCTTTCGCCTGGGGATGTGGTTCCGCGTTTCGTGGTGGACCAAGGCATACGGACCTGGATGTTCCTCGCGCGCGACGGCGAGCGGTGGCCGAAAGTTGCGACTCGCTTCTCCGAGTAGCTTGCTTATACAAAGTGTTGTTTTACATATCAGCTCTCGCGCTGGTTACTGGGCCTCTGCGGCTGCTGCTTGTGCTCTTCCTTCCTCCTACTCCCTCTCCTCCTCCTCCTCCTCCTCCTCCTCCTCCTCCTCCTCCTCCTCCTCCTTCTCCTCGCTTCTGCTCGTCCTCTCTCCTCGTCATCCCCCCCTCCCCTTTCCCCCTCATCCCTCCCCTATATTCCTCCTACCCCTTCCTGCTGCTGCTACTTCTCCTCCTCCTCCTCCTTTTCCTCCTCCTCCTCCTCCTCCTCCTCCTCCTCCTTCTCCTCCTCCCCTGCCCTCACCACAGCCTCCTGCCTGTCTCTCCCTGCTCACCGTCCTCTCCGTTCCCCTTTCCCCTCCCCCTTCCCCTCCCCGTCATTCCTCCCGTCCCTTCTTAAAAACGGAACATTGAATTTTCGACGCTGAGCGAACCACTTCTCCCTCCTCCTCCTCCTCCTTCTCCTCCTCCTCTCCATCCCCCTCCTCCTCCTCCTGCGCCTCCTCCTCCTAATTCTCCTCTTTCTCCTCTTTCTCTTGTGTCTCCTCTTTCTCTTTTTCCTCCTCCTTCTCCTCCTCCTTATTCCTCCCGTCCACCCTTTGAGAACGGCACCCGGGATTTCCGGCGCTGGGCGAACTCACTTATCCTTTCTGCGCCTCTTCCGCCCCTTGTCCTCATAGATAATCGGGGTTGCTCAAGGTGTCCCTGGCCCAAGGTGCCCGGTAAACTTTGAAACCTATGGGGCCCCCAGGGCCTCGTGAGGGGTGCTCTGGAAGCCGTGTGGGCCTCAGTGAAAATCCTGGGGGCACCTAGGACCAGGGGCACTTTTAGCAACACCCGAAATAACTCCTCCCTGTCGCACACCCAGACCTGTCGGTAGTTAGTGCGGGCTGGGCGTTTCGCTTGAGACTTCCTCACCGCTTATGATCCTGAGGCTTGACATGTGCAACAGCTTCACGGATGAAGGGCGGGCCGTTTTCAAAATGCTGTTCTCGCCTAAGCGCCGCGCACATTCGCTGTCAAACATTTCTTCAAAGTGCAGGATGGAAGGGTGGGTGGTTTTCAGAATGTGGCTCTGGCTGTAGCGCAGCGCGCGCTCATTGTGAACATGTGCACAACACTTTCACTGATGGATGGCGAGCGGCTTTCAAAATCTTGCGCTCGCCTTAGAACCGCGTTCATTCGTGTTGGAAGTTTACAACAGTTTCAAACAGGAAGGGGTTCTCCTTTTCAAGATGTGGCTCTCGCCTTAGCGCCGCGCGCATTCGTTTGAAATGTTGCAGCCACTTCAAGGATTCGCATGGTCAAATATCGAGGAATGGCGTTCTGGCAAGACTTCAGAGATTGTCAGGACGCGACAATAATATTGATTCGCGGTGTTGAAACCGAGGAATTGCGTTCTGGCACGATTTAGGGTTCAGCACGCAGAGGTCACGTTGACTCGCGACGCTGAAATTCCAGGGATGTTGCTTTGGCACGATAGAATATGTTCAAGCGCTTGTCTTCCACTGGGGCATTTTCCATGGTGAAGCCCATGAAGAGAAACTGGGAAGGCGGGAGTATTGCAACATCGTCGATGCGGTTTGGGTTTCCACTGGTCCTCCTCCTCCTCCTCCTCCTCCTCCTCCTCCTCCTCCTGCGACACAGATTGGCGGCAACGAGGGGTCAGTGAGCCTGCCCCCTACCGCTGTACACTACTCGGGATCAGAGCATCCCTGAGCTCTCCGAAGGATCAACGGCCCGCAACTCCACGGGGATCCAGCGGCCTCGAAAGAAAACACGCGCACGATCCAAGCCTGACAATACACGGCGGGCGCCGGCCCGCTCATCTCCTCTCTGCTCGCGCTCCTCCCCTTCCCGAGCTCCCGCACGCCCTGGGCAGCCTCTGCGATGAACTGCTCCAGCATCATTTCCTGCGACTGCGGGTCCGGGTCGAGCTCCTGCGACGCCAGAGGAGGAGGAGAAGGAGGAGGAGGAGGAGGGGGAGGAGGAGGAGGAGAGGGAGGAGGAGGGGGAAGGCGAAGGGAGGGATGGAAGCAGAAAAGGGGGAGGTAATGGGCGTCCAGAAGGGGATAGCGACGTTCCATCTTGGGAACTTGAACGGCCCTTTCGTTCTCCTCCTCCCTCCTCCTCCTCCTCCTCCTCCTCCTCCTCCTCGTCCTCCTCCTGATCCTCCTCCTCCTCCTCCTCCTTCTTCTCCTCCTCCTCTCTCATACTCTCCCACCCTTCCTCCTCGTCCTCCTACAACCACAACCACATTCCAGACAGGGGGTGGGGACACGGTTGACCAAGGGGACGGGTACCATCGACCAAGACGAGAAACCGGTATCCAGCCTCCTTCCCTTTTTCCCTTCTCTCCCTTTCTTCTCCTCCTCGTCCTCATCATCATATCATCATCATCATAATCATCATCATCGTCGCCGACGTCGTCATCCTCCTCGTCTTCCTCATCTCTCACCCTCCTCCTCATTGTCATTCTCCTCTAAGGGTTTTCGGGATTCCTGGTCGCTTGGATTTCGGATTCCCTCGGCTTGAAAATTCTGAAACGTCCAAAACCGGTTTGAAATTTGAGGTTATCAAACGATTCGATATGTTGGAAAATGTTTGCAAGTTTTGGAAATGTCTGAAATTATGGTGGTTTGGAGTTTTCGGGGGTCCTGGCCGTCGGGGTTTCGGATCTCCCGCATCCAGGACATGTTTCAAAAGAATGAGAAATTTTGAAAGGTCCAAACGGCGTGGGATGTTTGGATATTCTGGGAACTTCGGAACTGTCTGAACTTCTGGTGGTTAGGAGTCTTCGGGATTCCTGCTCTCCTGGGCTTCGGATTCCCAGCCCACTGATTTTCGAACATCTCGAACCATTCCCAACCGCCCTGTGGTGTTGGGCCCTCGCTTTCACAAGAGAGCGCCGCGCGTCTCCTCTCCTCTCCTCCTCCTCCCTCCTCCCCCTCCTTGCCCGTGCCCCCCTTCGTGGCCCCGTATGGGAGATCCACCGGCGGCCCTTTGTGGCAGAACCCCAAAGGCCGCCACCTTGCCATTTCTGCACACGCACCTCACACTTTTCGTGGCCCACGAAGGAGCTCCACCGAAGGACCCAGTGGCAAGGCCCGCATGCCGCCACCTCGACATTTCAGCACACACACACACATCACTCTTTTCGTGGCCCCATATAGAGCTGCACAGAAGGCCCCAGTGCCAAGGCCTGCATGCCGCCACCTCGCCACCTCGGCACACCCCTCACACTTTTCGTAACCTCACAGGGAGTCTCACCGAAGGCCCCAGTGGCAGGGCCCGCATGCCGCCGTCTCGACATTTCGCCACACCCCTCACACGCTTCGTGGCACCATAAGGAGCTCGACAGAAGGCCCCAGTGCCAGGGCCCGCATGCCGCAACCTCGCCATTTCTGCACACCCCTCACACGTCTAATAGCTCCGTAGGGAGATCCACCGAAGGCCCCAGTGGCAGGGTCGCACGCCGCCACCTCGCAATTTCGGCACACCCCTCACACTTTTCGTGGCCCCATGGTGAGCTCCCCCGAAGACCCCAGTGCCAGGGCCCGCATGCCGCCACCTCGCCACCTCGGCACACCCCTCACACTTTTCGTAACCTCACAGGGGCTTCACCGAAAGCCCTAATGGCAAGGCCAGCATGCCGCCACCTCGCCATGTCGGCACACCCCTCACACGCTTCGTGGCACCATAAGGAGCTCGACATAAGGCCCCAGTGCCAAGGCCCGCATGCCGCCACCTCGCCATTTTGGCACAGCCCTCACACGTTCCGTGGCTCCATAGGGAGCTCCACCGAAAGCCCCAGTGCCAAGGCCCGCACGCCGCCACCTCGCAATTTCGGCACACCCCTCACACGTTTCGCGGCCCCATAGGGAGCTCCACCGAAGACCCCAGTGGCTGCGGTCTCATGCGGTTGCACCCCCCATGTCGGCGAACCCCTCACGCGTTCCATGGCCCCACAGGGTGCTCCACCTGAGGCCCCAGTGGCAGCGCCCGCATGCGGTTCCATCCCACATTTTGGCGCGCCCCTCGCACGTTCCGTGGCCTGAGGCGGCATCACCGAAAGATGCAGCGGCAGGGTCTGCATGTCGGTGACGCCCCATTTCTGTACACCCCTCGCACGCTTCGTGGCCCCATAGGGAGCTCCACCGAACGCCCCAGTGGAGGAGGCCGCCTCCCGTCGACGGGCCACTTTGGCACACCCCTCAAAAGTTTCGTGGCCGCATTCGCCAGACTAATGTGAACACTATGATCGTTTCAAGCGGGTTGGAATGCTTGAACAACGTTTTTGTTTGTGTTGGTGCCGCTGTTCTGTTTAAGAAAAAATTATGGTGGGTTGGAGTTTTCGGGGTTTCTACTCGCCTGGGTTGCAGGCTTAATGTTCTATAACAGCTGAAATGCCGAACGGTTTGAAATCCTTGAAATGTCCGAAATTCGGAAATAACTACGGGGTTGTGGAGATTGGGAATTCTCGGGGTTCCTGGCCGCCTGGTTTCCCGATTCCCCGGCCAACTGAAATTCCGAATGTGTTGGGATTTAGTCATTATTGTTTCAAGCGGTTTGAAAATTCTGTTGTTCTTAACTTTTCAGACTCAAGATTCAAAGTTCTGGGGGTCTAGTTTTCGCCAAAGCTGCGAAACCATTGGACCAGATGCCCGGTACCCTCCTCCTCCTCCGCCGCCTCCTTCTCCTCCTCCTCCTCCTCCTCCTCCTCCTCCACCTCCTCCTCCTCCCACCTCCCCCCCTCCTGCTCCTGCTGCTCCTGCTCCCCGTGCCCCTCCACCTCATCCTTTTCTATCTTCTCCTCCTCCTCTTACTCCCCCTTCTCTTCCTCCTCCCCCCCTCCTCCTCCTCTTCCTCTCCTCCTCCTCCTCCTCCTCCCCTCCTCCTCCTCCTCCTCCTCCTCCTCCCTCCTCATCCTCCCCCTCCTCCTCCTCCTCGTCCTCCTCCTCCTCGTCCTCCTCCTCCTCCTCTGGCCTTCTGGTACCACCTGAAACTTACTGGGGCATCCTGTGGCCTTCTGGGGCCTCTTGGGCCTTTCCTAGAAAGCCCCCAGCGACTTTCCGAGACCTATTGGTGCTCCTGTAAACATCCTGGGAACTCCTGGGGTTTCTCCCACCCCGTTTACCGTCCATCCTCCATCCCTGTCTCTCTCTCTCCCTATCGTTCTCTCCTTCCCTCTCTCTCCCTCTCTCTCTATACCTCTCTCGCTCTGTCTCTTTCCCTCATCCCCCCCCTTCCCCCGTCACCACGGGCACTCCCTCAGGATCTCCCCCCTCTCCTTCTCCTCCTGCTGCTCCTCTCGCTTGGCAAGCGGTGCCGACGCGTCGGATGTTCGCTCCCACGGGGCAGCGTTTGACTTGTCGACCAAGAAGAAGGCGCGGGAACCACGGCGCTGTGCGCCTCGACACGGCTGTCGGACATCGGTCGATGTCGCTGAAATGGCACGAGCCCTCCCCCTGTGAGAACCATGGAACAATCCGTGGGGCACACGCGCAGACTGTGATGGTGATGATGCTGCTGCTGCTGATGATGATGATGATGATGATGATGATGATGATGATGATGATGATGATGATGATGATGATGATGATGATGATGATGATGATGATGATGGTGATGGTGATGGTGATGGTGATGATGATGAGGAGGAGGAGGAGGAGGAGGAGGAGGAGGAGGCGGAGGACGAGCAGGAGGAGGAGGAGGAGGAAGAGGAGGAGAGCGGGACGCGATGGCAGAGCCACCCCCTCGCCCCCCTCCCCCCGCCCAGGAGACGGCAGAGGGCCGGGGGCCTCGGGCACGACAAGTCACGCGACGGCTGCTCGCTGCCACTGCGCTGCTCGGGAGCGGCCGAGAGGGGGGTGTCCAAGAGGGCGGGGGTGCAAATCACGACCGGCGGCATGTGCGCGGCCCAGCGGGGGGGCCAGGGACGTAATGGAATAAGAAGAGGCGCCATGAAATGTGAGGAAATATCATGGCCCCCGCCATGATATCCCCCCCCCCTAGTCATCACCCCCGTCTTTGCCGCTCCCGAGTTGCGAGAAAGGCAAAGCGAACCAGTGGTTTTCCCCGTGTGGCCGTCGGGACCGGCACACGGGCTTGCTGCCTTGAGCCGTTGACCTCTTGCGTGCTCGACTCCGATGGTATCTCGAGGTGCCCTGGCTGCGCGGGTCCGTGCGAGAACGTGGAGCGTGCTGCGTTTTGTTCGATGGTTCCGGACAGCCCCACGGACAAGCATGACATGCTTTTGTTGCCCGTTTGGGGATGCAGAAACTCCAATGCAAACAAGTACTGAATTGCGCATGCGCGCGCGGCGACGATGGCGACGGCCACGGCCGCGACGGCGATGGCGACGACGGCGACGACGGTCCGGACGAAGACGACGACGATGACAACGACGGCGACGTCGACGACGACGACGGCGGCGACGACGGCGACAATGACGACAATGACGACGGTGACGGCGGCGACGTGGACGACAGCGACTGCGACGACGGCGACGTTGTCGATGACGTCGATGAGTCGATGGCGGTGGCGACGACTGCGACTGCGACGAGGACGACGACGACATTGACGACCTCGGCGGCCTTCACGTGCACTGCATACGAACATGTGTTTATGTAGCAATGTTTGTGTGTATATGCCAGCATATGCATCTGTGTGTAGATGAAACGATCTTCCATACACATATATATATATATATGTATATACATGTATGGCTCGGAAAAAATAAGCATGGAGGTCAGCGCAAACCGAATTCTACACTCAGAGGCATCTGCATGAATATGATTGCTTCGAAAAACAACTCATTATGCCCATGCTTGTGAAGCGAATCCAGCCATGGCCGTCTGCGAGCCAACACCCAGAGGCCCAAGCCGAGCGACATACACGCAACAGCTTCGTCGCAAGAGCGCCAGCGTCGAACGAGAACAGCGTATGAGGAGGGGGGGTAGGAGGAGGGACACGTGAGGACTAGGGTCGGAGCGCGATGGAGGAGGAAGAAGAGGAAGAGGAAGTGGAAGAAGGGGATCGTAACGGAACAACGAGGTATGTCGACAGGACGCCTGGGACTCCAAGGACGCCCTCGTGAGGAATGTCGGCGGGGCCTTCCTGGTGGCCGTGGCCATCCTCGCGCCTACCTTGGCAGTGCTTGGCGTCGGCGTAGCAAAGGGGGGGGGGGGGGGGCGTTTGGGCCGTCGGGTCGGGTGAGGGGTCTCGGGGCGGGGTGTCGCAGGAGAGGTCGGGTCGACTAGGGAGTCGTCGTGGAGGACGTCGGGCACGGGGTCGGGGAAGCCGATCGTCGGGTCGGCGGTCTGGTCGTCAGTTCCGTGGGCCGTCCTTCTGTCCGTGAGGGAAACGCCGTTCGCGTCGCCAGGGCAGTCCCAGCGGGGGGTCGGGCGCGGGGTGCGCGTCGGGCGCGGCGTCGGGGCCGTCGTGGAGGCAGTCGTGGGGGCCGCGGGGGTCGTCGTAGCGGGTGGGGGCAGGCGCTCGCGGGGGCCGTCGTGGGAGGCCGTCGTGGTGGTGTGTCGCGGGAGCCGTCGCGGTGGTGGGTCGGGTAGGGGGATCCTGGGGGTGGCTCTGGCTGTCCCTATGGCTGTTTCCCTAGGTACAGTGCGGGCGAGGCCGCAACAAGAAACCCAATCCTGAAAACACGCGTGCGGGGTGCACCGAAGGGGAAACCCGAAGCACCCTGAACGCAGCAGCAGCAGTTTCTTCAACGGCTGCGGGAAGTCACCGCGCAGCGCGCGGAGCGAAGAAACCCAGGGTACCCTGACGAACAGTGAATGATTTCTTGCTGCGCGCCCCCACTGAATGCCCCCCCGCGGGCTCCCTTTCAGGGCATGCGGCCACTCGAGATGCCGAGCCCGCCGCGAGGCAAGCGGCGCCAACTTTGGCCTGGCCAGCGGCCTCCACGGCCGCTTCCCCGGGTATGCCACCCACGGGCTCCCTTTCAGGGCATTTGGCCAGCCGGGGCGTGGCTGGGAGGGGCGCGGGGTCCGTCGTGGGGAGCGCGGGGGAAGGGGCTGTGGGGGCAGGCGTAGTGGGCGCACGCCGGGATGTAGGGAGGCAGGCGGAGGAGAACCCCATCGTCGCCGTAGGCGCTGTTGGCGGCGGGAAGGGTCCCAGCCCGGTTTCCTTGTGGCCCGGCAGGCCGCGGCTGTATTCCATTGCGCTGTGACAGCTAATTGAGGACCCCTATGACGATGTACGCGGCGGTGTGGCTGCAGTTGGTGTCATCGGCGACGTATGGCTTGATGGCGTCGCCGTTGAAGTGGCTCCTGAGCGCTGCTTCCAGCGCCGCTGTCCGCCTGCGGCGTGCCGCTCGCCTGGCCGCGGTCGGCCCAGTGTCCATGGTCTGCCGCAGCTCGGAGAGAGGTGGCTGACCTTTGGGGGGGTGGGTTTTGCTGCCGGTGCATGTTTGGGCCGCCTCGCAGTCGGCCAGCCTCCCGCAGCGGTGCACACGTCGATGTCGAGGAGCGTCGCGGGCTCCTCGGCGCCCCTCCCATTGCCGGGCGTCGCGCTTGGCCTGCCGCCCGCGGCAGGACCCCCCGCCCCTGTGTCGAGGGCCGGGTGAGGGGTCCGCGCCCCCGAGTCGGGCATCGGCTTCTGCCACCTGCTCCCCCTCCTGCTCCACCATCCTTCTCCCCCCTCCTCGCTCTCTCCCGCCCTCCCTCCTCCTCCTCCTCCTCTCCTCCCCCTCTCCACCCTCTCCCCTTCGACGCCTGGTGCTTTTTGTAGGTCAGAGCTCGGGCCTCAGCGGCCGTTCAGGACGATCTGGGCACCACTGGACGCCTCTCGGCGAAGCGCAGCTGCCAGAGAACACCGCGAGGCTTGAAAACCGCAGAGAAACGAGGAGAACGTCCGAAAACCTCGAACCTAATGCTCCTGCCCCCCCCCCCCCCCTCTCGCCCCGCTCTCGTCTGAGGGGCCACAATAAGGGAGGACTGGCTCAGGGGGGGGGGCATTGACCTGGCATGGGCGTTGCATCGCCGATAGATCGGCGATGGGCCCCCGATAAGGGCGAATCCGCACGCTCCTGAGCGAGATGGGCTATCAGGCCCCTCTCGGTGATCAGTGGGCGACTGGGGATCGATGCGCCCCCTCCCGAGCCCCGTGCCCCCCCCGCCTGCGCCTGGCCTGCCCTGTCGTTGCCCCGCCTCCCTCCTCCTCCTCCCTCCCTCCTCCCTCCTCCCTCCTCCTCCTCCTCCCTCTCCCCTCCTCCTCCTCCTCCTCCTCCTCCTCCTCCTCCTCCTCCTCCTCCTCCTCCTCCTCCTCCTCCTCCTCCTCCTCCTCCACCTGAGGGGCGGGCGGGGGCTCGGGCGCGGGGCCCCGCTCCTGCAGCAGCCCCAGCTTGTAGTCCAGGAACCGCTCGAACGTCACGGGACGCCCGCCTGCGCGGGCGTGGTCGTCGCCGCCGCCGCTCCTCGATCGGCGGCGGCGACGATCGATTGGAACTCGATCACCGATCGATCGCCGGTCCACCACCGTCGACCGTCATCACGGGTCGATCGTCGCCAGTCGATCATCGGTGGTCGTCGCCGCAGTCACCGATCGATCGACAGTCGACCGATCGATCGTCGTCGCCGTCACGGATGGGTCGATGAGCCAATATTTTGATATGTTTGTCCCTAGCGTTTGGGGTGCATTTCTGGCCTCTCAGGGGCCTGATCTCCTTGAAGCCCCAAGTCCAGCTATCCCAAACATTCTGTATATGTTCGAATATTGTCTAGTTAACCTATCTTCAAGGAACGCACTATAGTTCAAAGCGTTGATTCAGCGTGGCAGATTTCCTATGTACGCCCCCCCGCAAACAACTGTATGTCGGTTCACGAGGGTCTACATACTTGATCCACCAAAGCATGAAACTGAACCCAACAAACGTTGATTGAAACTGCAATCTCCTCCTCCTCCTCCTCCTCCTCCTCCTCCTCCTCCTCCTCTTTTTTCCTCATCCTCCCCCTCCTCCTCTTCTTGCTCCACCATGCGTTCCCCGAAGTCTTTCCAAACCAACTCGGGGAACAACTGGCCCGATAGCTTGGCCAAGCTCTGGCCCAGCTGTCGGCCACAGAGGCGCTTCCAAAGGGGCAGGGGGCGGGGGTGATTCGCCGTAGGCGTCTTCGCTCCGCCGCCCCCTGTCGATTCATCGCAGGGGTGCCTAGCGTGCTAGATCCTCTCGGTTTTGGGTTTGGTCCTTTTTCCAAAAGAACGCCCCCTGGGCCTCCGGCGCGTCCCGCAGGGGTCCAGGAAGGATCTTCCAGAGCCGATTGCAAAGGGTTTTCCTGCTCCGGACGGCTCCAAGGTGGCCTCCAAGATAACCACGATGGCCCAAGATGGCCTCCAAGTTCGCCCAAGATGCGCCCGAAGTCGGCCCAAGAGAGTCCAGGATGCCTCCAAGTTCGCACAAGAATCACCGAAGACGGCCCAAGACAGCCCCAAAGGCCTCCAAGAGGCCTCCAAGACGGCCCCAGAGGCCTCGAAGAGGTCCTCCAGGGTCCTCAAGGACTCAAGGACGGCCCGAAGAGGTCAAAATCATTGATGTTCCGTAGGTTTTTGAAGGATTTTGGCGTTTGCTCCTGTTTCGGATTCCGACGGCCCAAGACTGCCCAAAAGGCCATCAAGATCGCCCCAAGCGTGCACAAAAAGCCTCCAAGACGGCCCCAGGACGGCCCAAGAGGCCCCCAAAACAGCCCCAAGACGGCCCAAGAGGCCCCGAAGAAGCCCCAGACGGCCTCCAAGACTGCCAAGATGGTCTCCAAGATGCCCGCAAAACGGCCAAGATGGCCTCCAAGACGACCAAAATGGCCACAAGATGCATCCAAGATGGCCTAAGACTGCCCCAAAAAACCTGCAAGAGGCCTCCAAGACGGCCCAAGAGCCCTCCAAAACGTTCGCCAGGCGGCCCGAAAGAGCCAACATCATTGATTACCCGACGGTTTTTGAAGGGGTTTGGCATTTTCTTCTTTTCAGCTCTTCGACGGCCCAAGACGGCCCAAGAGACCACCAACATCGTCGCAAGAGCGCCCAAGAGGCCTCCAAGATGGCCCCATGACAGCCCAAGAGCCCCCAAGAGGGCCCAACAAGACGCCAAGACGGCCTAAGATGGCCCCCACGATGCCGAAGATGGCCTCCAAGACGGCCAAGATGGCCTTTAAGATGCCTCCAAGACGGCCAAGAAAGCCTCCAACACGGCGAAGATGGCCCCAAGATGCACCCAAGACGGCCCCAGATGGCCTGAAGATGGCCTTAGACTGCCCAAAGGCCCGCCAGAAGCCTCCAAGACGGCACAAGACCCCTACAAGACCCCCCCAAACCCGGAAATGACCTGGTCCGAAAGCTCGCCCAACTCCGTGTTCCCCGAAGGCCTTCGAAACCCACTCGGGGAACGCGAGGCCCGATAACCCTGTGCGGGCGATAATAAAGTTCGCGGTTCCCGCGTGGATGATAAAGATTTTCCCGGGGAAGGTGAGTTATGATGATGATGATAACGATAATGATAATGATGATGATGATGATGATGATGATGACGATGATGATGATGATGATGATGATGATGATGATGATGATGATGATGATGACGAAGATGATGGAGGAGGAGGAGGTTGAACCAGGCGCACGACTGAAGCCTGACTCGAGCGACCTCGAGGCTCGTGGCTACTTGCCCGCAGACGCTCACGACGCAAGGCTGACTCGAGCGATCTCGAGGCTCGTGGCTACTTGCCCGCAGAGGCGCTTTTGATGCTGTTGCTAATCAATATGATATGATAGCAGCTTCGATCCCCGCAACTTTTCCGTGGATTATCAAGTTCGGCCTCCGCGCCTTCCCCACAGATAAATCCCTGTGGTCGGGGATTAAAAAATAGAGGGGGTGAATGGGGGGGGGGTCCTTTATTATCGCCTGTGGTCGGTTAGCTTGGTCAAGCTCAAACCCAACTTTCGGCCACGCAGGCGTTTCCAAATAGGCAGGGGGCGGCGGTGATTCGCCGTAGGCGTCTTCGATAACCACTCCTGTGGTGTTTTGACCGGTGCTTGCCCCATCCGCCATCCGAAAACCATGCCAGGATGGCCTGGCAACCATGGCAGATTCCACGGTCCGGGTGGCAATCTGATTTCGGGCGGGGCAGAATTGTCCTGCACGGATCTGGAGGACTGCGAGACCAGGTCAAGCTGCTCCATCTTACTTTTCTTCCTCTTCATTCTCCTCCACCTCCTCCTACGCATCACCCATCTCTTCCATTTCCCCGCCTCCTCCTCCTTCTCCCCCATATCCACCCCTTCCTTCTCAGCTTTCTCATTCTCCTTGGCTTCTGCCTCCAAGACGCCCGGATAGGCTCCCCACGAGACCTCATCAGCCATCCGATTGTCCTCTGACCCGCAAACCAGGCACGGTGGCGGGATGCACCGAAGGCCATTCGATAACCACTCTTCTGGTGTTTCGACCGGTACCTGCCCCATCCGCCATCCGAAAAACATGCCGGGATGGATCGGAAGACATGGCAGATTCCACCGTCCGGGTGGCAACATGCTTTCAGGGGAAGGGCAGAATTGTCCTGCACGGAACTGGAGGGCTGCGAGTCCAGGTCAAAATGTTCCCTTTTACTTCTCTTTGTCTTCCTTTTCCTCCACTTCCTCCTGCGCCTGACCGTTATCCTCCCTCTCCCCGCCTCCTCCTGCTCCTCCTCCCCCACATCCACCCCCTCCTTCTCAGTTTTCTCTTTCTCCTTGGTTTCGTCCCGTTTCCACCGAGCTCAGCGAGCGTAGCGCCACCGTTGATTCGATTCCAAAACTGGCCACCCGCATATGCATCATCTGCACGCCTTGCACTTCAGGGTGCCCTTTTTTTTCTCGCCGCGAGCGACGTGGCCACTGGCCGCGGAGAACGTCGACTTCGACAATTTCTTCTGGCACGGCCCGCTGCACTGATACGCCTGCCACCTGCGCGCCGTGAAACCCAGGCGCGCGCAATCCGCGCACGCCACGCGCTTCTGTTCCGTCCTTCGGTTTGTTTTTTTTTGTTTTTCCGACTTGTCCTTTCTTTAAATGCTCCGCGTCTGCGAACGTATCTCCGCAAGCCGCGCACGTCAGCAGGATCGCTCCCGCCTCCGCTTTCCTCTTGCGGTTCGCTTCCTCTGCGTTCACTCGCATTGCTGATTTCTCTTTTTCACTCGCACGCCTCTGGCATAGTCTCACCCCAGCTCCACGGCGCTTTCTCTGCGCCTCCGAGGTAGCTGCCTTCTCTACGAATAGCGTCATGCACCTGTCGTTCGAACAACGGGCTGCGCTAACGCCCTCGTGACACTTTGCATTGCCCTTGCGCGATATCTGCTTCGCCTTCACATGGTTGCACTTCGCGCAATGCATTGTCCGCATGGTTTTCACCCCCGCTCCGTCGTTCACACTCTCCCCGCCGCGACCGCCGTCGTGGCACGTCGACCAATCGCCCCCTGCTCTTGTCGCCAATCATCTGCGCGTCTTGCACCGTGTTGCATCCTTGCTCTTCCTTTCCTCCGTGCACTCATTCTTTACAGAACGCTGGCCTCTCCTTCCTCTGGAACTCATACTTCGTGAACGCCTCCACGAGCAGCATCCGCCAGCACCGCTCACGCTGGTCTCGCGGCGTCAGCTTCGCTTCCCATTCTTCACAGTCCATCTGCTCTCCGCGGAACACCTGCTCTCCGTGCCGGCCACTTCGCCTTCGTTATGCGGGCTCCTGTCAAAAAAACGAAATATCAGTCAGTTTTCACGCCGTCGCACCCGCGCGATGGCCACGTAACTTGACATCCAACTTACGCCACGCCCTCTGTCAAGGTCCCCTACGACTGCGCCCATTGTCCGTCCTTGCGCGGCGTGCGCCGCCACTGCCAGCGCCGGCGCAGTCATGCACGGCGTGCGCTTGACACCCAGCACAGGATGCTTCCGATACCCGTCCAAAAACCACTGGCGCCCCTTCGATGGACAAATGGGAGACTGCCCCGGCCCCCAGCCTGGGAGGTGCCATTCCTTCGTGTGAACGTCTGAGACGATGACTCTTGGCAAGTGCATTGACACTTGTTCGTCGTCATGTCCCACGACGTCGTCCTCGTACAACACCCGCCCATGAATTGTCGCTGTTCGCCCCCGCAACAGCTGTTTCTTCGACCGGTCTAAATGATCTCCCAAAGCGACAGGCATGCCCTTCGCTCGCGGCAGCCACCCTGGCAAGCTTGCACACCCGTTATCTTGGTAACCCAGTCACCGTATCTTATCCTCCACAATGTACGGCCGTTTTTGCCCCCCCCCCCATGGCAAGGGCGATCTCTCGCCGCGACCCATAGGAGCTGCTCTCCTGACTCCTTAGCCCACTTCACAGCTCTCTGCTTACCCACGTGGCACCGGATGTCCTGATTGGTATAGATAGCAACGGCTTCCACGAATTTCTCTTCCCGAAATCGACCGTCCCCGGGCGATGTCGCAACGAGTTTCCTTTTCTCTCGCTCCCTGTTGTTGCTAATTTCCTCTGCGTTTGCGCGACAATGCGCGTTCCTACACTGCGGTGCGCCGTTCACCCACGACCCTGGCACGTCCGTCGGCAGTCCATGCAAGAAATGACGCGTCCTCCTCCTCCTCCTCCTCCTCCATCTCCTGCTCCTCCTTTCCCTCTTTCCCCTCCTCCTCGCCCTCCTCCTCCTCCTCTCCTCCTCCTCCTCTTCCTCCTCCTCCTCCTCCCCTCCTCCTCCTCCTCCTCTCCTCCTCCTCCTGCCCCTCCTCCCTCCTCCCTCCTCCTCCTCCATCCTCCTACCTCCTCCTCCTCCTCCTCCTCCTCCTCCTCCTCCTCCTCCTCCTCCCATCCAACTCGTACTCACCCTCCCTTGTCGCCACCTTCCCTCTCCGTTCTCCGCCCGAAACGTCCCATATCACCAGCTCGGGGAGGCATCGTGGACCGCCCATCCCAGAAGAATCAGAAACTGCACAATCATACACGTTCTAAGCTCCGCCCGATTTCTTGGAGCTGGGCCCCCCTCCCCCGCGCGCGGAGCGCGCCACTGGCGGCGCTGGAGGCGCCGTCAGGGGGGCCCACCGCCAATCCAAGAAATCCGCGCGAGGCTCCGAACGTTTTTGCGCATGCCTCCGTCGCTTCTTCGACTACAGTCAAAACGTATAGTACGGACGTGCGGTAAGGACGCAAGACTCTCAGAGGCGGAGATTCGGAGGGTACCCTGAGAGGCTGGCCAGTGAGAGCGGCCGCGGACGGGCCGCAGAGGCAAAGACGCAAGGGCTCCCTTGGGAAATCGCGCGTCCTTACCATGCGCGTTGACTTTATGCCCAGCTCGGGGAGGCATCGTGGACCTCCTCGCTGGCGGTGACACCCCTGGCGTTGGAGGCGGTGGTCCGAGGTCGGAGCGTCGGCCCACGCGCACCGGGAGGAGAAGCTGCTGCTGCGGGCGCTGCGAGCGCGGGCGGCTCCTTCGTCGCACTCCTCCTCCTTCTCCTCCTCCTCCTCCTCCTGCCTCCGCCTGATCCTCCTCCTCCTCCTCCTCCGCCTGCCTCCTCCTCCTCCTCCATATCTTTCCTTCTAACTACACCCTCCCTGTTGCACCTCACGACGAGTCGGTAGGGCGGGCCAGGCGTTTCGCAGGATACCTCTTCACGGTTGATGACCCTGAAGTTGAAATAAGCAACCGCTGAGCCGCTCACATTCGTCTTCAAAGTTCGCAACGGTTTCAAGGATGGAGGGCGGGTGGTTTTCAAAATGTGGCTCTCGCCACAGCGCCGCGCACCACAAGTGCTTAGCAGTTCCAAGGATTCCTACAGTTGAAGTCCCAGGAATGGTGTTCTGGTGCGACTTCGGATTGCCAGGACGCAGCAGTCACGTTGATTCGCGGTGGTGAAGCCCCAGAGGTTGTCAGGACGTAACAGTCATGTTGGTCCGCGGCGTCAGTATCCCAGGAATCATGTGGCCGACTCATTCAAGGGGTCGGCGGATGCGGCGTAAGCCTATATAATCAAACGTCGCCCTCCCCATCCTCAGGCCATGTTGTGCTGTCTGGGGCTTTCTTGGGGACCTCCTGGGAGCCTCTTGAGGCTTGAGGCCCAATCTGGCCAGGCCGTCTTGGAACGTCTTCGGGTCCGTTGAGGGCTCTGTGGGGCCGTCTCGGCGCGCTCTGGGCGCATCGCTGTCGTCGTCATCGTCGTCGTCAGCATCATCGTCTCATCGTCGTCATCATCGCCAGCATCGTCAGCAAAATCAATATCCATTGCCATCGTCATCGTTATCGCTATTCTCTTTATGGCAAGGGAGCCGGGTTACCAGCTAGAGGACGACGAGCAAAGACGAGTCGAGTCGAGGCTCGCGCTCACGAGGTTCGAATGATGAAGCAAGAGGATTCGGAGTTTGAGGTGAGGCGGAGAAAGACGGTTATGGTTACAATCCTCACCATTATGGCTATTATCCTCATCGTCCTCTTCAATAGCATCAGCATCACCATCATCATCGTCATCATCATCATCATCACCATCATCATCACCAGCATCATCATCAACATCAGCATCACCACCATCATCATCATCATCATCATCATCATCATCATCATCATCATCATCATCATCATCTCATCAGCATCATCATCATCATCGTCGTCGTCATCATCATCATCATCATCATCATCATCATCATCATCATCATCATCCTCATCCTCATCATCATCATCATCATCATCATCATCATCAGCATCATCATCATCATCATCATCATCATCATCATCATCATCATCATCATCATCACCATCCCCCTCCCTCCTCGATCCCCATCCACCGCCGTGACGCCCTCCTTCTGCCGCATTGGGCGCTCTCGAACGGTCGGGCTATAGCGGAACCCAGCGGGCGCGCGGGCAAGGCGAACCAAAACAACGGGCTGGGCGGGCTGATCCATAAGGGCAGGTCGGGCGGGCTGACCCGAAAGGGCGGGTCGGGCGGGAGGGACGTTAAAGCGGGCGGGTGGGCTTTCGAGCAAAGCGAGCGTGCGGACCCTACGGCCGGACCCGAACGGGTGGGCGGGTCGGGCGGGCCCTCACGGGCAGGTCGGGGGGACGGGATGTTGAAGCGGGCGGGCGGGTCTTCGGGCGAATGGGCAATTGAGCCCGAACGGGCGGGCGGGCGCACCTTGACGCACGGGCGGGCGGGTGGGGCGGGCGGGCGGGGCATGAAAAAGCTAGCGGGCGGCTTTCGGGCAAGCGAGTGGGCGAGCCCGAAAGGGCGGGTCGAGGAAAGGTCTAGCTCCATTCGAATGCCGTAGCACCCCGCGGGCCCCCCCAGGGGCGCAGAAGGCGGCCACAGTGGCATGCCTGGCAGCATCCAGACAAAACGAAATCCATGTTCGCCTCCTTGTAACGGCACCCATCTAGACTCCCCATGGACGCAGGACATTAGCGAACGTCGACTGCAGTGTCGTGGGCACCTCCTCTCCATCCCCCTCTGTCCTCTTCGCCCTTGCAAGCAAGAAGGGCTCCTGGATCCAGCTTGTCGCGGAAGACTTTCTGAAATCTTGCCACAACAGCGCCTGAGGCGGACAGCAGAAACGACTGGAGGGGAAGCAAGGCAACGCTGGACACACGGCCGATTCAGGGAAAAAAGGTGGAGCGGGTGGCCTGAGACAGAAGCAAAGACTGATACGTAAGGAGGCCATGGAGGGAGGGCCAGCATCGAACACGATAGGACGAAACTGCTCCGCAGCGTTTTGCCGCCTCGCGGGGCGTAGGGGATCGGGGGAAGTGGGTCTGTAATATGCAGCCTTGGGGTCTGGGAGTGCAAGGGAAAAAAGATCGGGAGCATTGGGTCCAGAGCCAGGGACGGAGAGGGGACAAGAATTGGATGGTGACCTGGCAATGCGATCTCTTCGTCCAGACCGAGAAATGAAGACGCCAACAATGGATTGAAACAGTGACGGCGGGAAACGTGAGTGACTCTTCCTCCCCCTCCGCTTTGGCGAGCCCCCTACATTCAGCGAGCTGCGAAGGGATGAGGGGGATACGGCGTCTGAGCTGGAGGAGGGGGTCACCAAGACGCATCCGAACTGAACAAAGATGGGCAAGGGAGAGAAGTGAGAGAAAGAACGCGGGGACGATGGTGGTTTCAAGATGCCTCCGGTCCCGTCACCTCTGTTCACCACCGTCGAAGAGGAGCGCACGTCCCGGGCCGAGCCATGAGCTTATGCCTCGTGAGCGCCGCGTGGCGGATGGAAAGTGGAAAGGTATGGCTGCCGACCCAATATGGGGCTTCAATCAATTCGGCACGGACCTTATGGCTTATGGAAGATCGAGTGCGCAAGAGCGACGAGATCATGAGCTACACTCACAGACAAGTCAGTCTCCTGACGCTCGACCTTCGCCCCCAAGCCAAGCCATGGAAAAGGGGAGCGGTCGGGACAATGAGATGGGGCAGAGCGATTAGATAAAGCAGACAGGGGCAAGAGAGGTAGTGAGATAATGAATCAGGGCAATCAGGACATCCAAACCTAAAAGGCAATGGAGAAACGATCTGAACCCTAAGGCTGGCGATCCATCCCAGCCAAGGTTTTCAACTGGGCCCAGACCTTAGCTGGGGATGACTTGGCCAGCTGCGCACGAAGCACGAGCCAGCGAGCACGCCCGGATGCTGAATCAGGGAGCTCCTCTCCTGGAAACCCCGTCCGAAGTCGTCTGCGGATGATTTCGTGGAATCTGTTCGAATCTGCGCTCGCAGTGAGCGTCTGTTTTTTTTATGCAGGGGGTCTCTTTCCTCTCCCGCGGCGGCGACGACGATCGCCCGCACCCTCCCCTTTCTGGTGGTGCGCGCCCACGCAGAATGCCGAGCCGGCGCAGCCTGGCCTCCCCTGGTAGAGCGGCGTGGTCGAAGAGGGGGGGGAGGACGACGCGATCGAGGACGAGGACGTCTGGCCATCACAGCCGAGGAGGGCACCGCGGCGCCATGAGTGTCATCATCATCGCCGTCGGCAGCACCATCACCATCATCAGCACCATCAGCAGCATCAACACCGCATTCACCATCACCATCATCAACATCACCATCACCATCACCATCACCATCACCATCACCATCACCATCACCATCACCATCACCATCACCATCACCATCACCATCACCATCACCAGGAGCATCACCTCACCATCCCCATCCTCATCCTCATCCTCATCCTCCTCATCATCGTCGGCATCACGTCATCATCAGCAGCATCACCACGACCATCACCATCAACAACATCATCATCGTCATCATCATGGTAATGATGATGGTGATGCTGATCATCATCAGTATCAACATCAGCATTCTCATGATTATGAGAATCATCATTCTCATGCTCTTCATCATCCTCATCCTCATCCTCTTCCGCCTCCACCTAATCCCCATCCACATCCTCATCCTCGTCCTTATCCTCATCCTCCTCCTCCTCCTCCTCATCATCATCACCACCACCATCATGATCATGATGATGATGATGATGATGATGATCATCATCATCATCACCAACACCATCATCATCATCATCTGGGTATCGCACCCCGCGAGGACACAATAAGGTGTCAGTGGATCGCGTCCTCGCAGTCGCCCCCGCCTCTGTCAGATTCCGCCACCACTGCTTGCAGCAGTGTCCTGGTTGCTCGCCCTCTGCCGACACCGCCCGATCCCCGGGCCTCCGCCCTGCGACTTTTGACGGCGTTGGCCGCTGAGTCCTCGACCCCGCATCCCCATGGACAGGCCATTCGCCGCGACTGGTTTCTCGATCCTGCTCCTTCGATGCCCGAGGTGCCCAAGGCACGAAGGCACGCATGCGTTGCTCTGTCCTTCCTCGCGAGGCTGGAGGTTTTAAGTTAACAGGAGGAGGAGCAGGAGTACGAGGAGGAGCAGGAGAAGGAGGAGGAGGAGGAGAATGAACTAGAACTGACGATGTAGGACGGTGAAGATGGTTTTCCGTAAAGGAATGCAAGGCGATGTAGAGCGAATCTTGCTATCTAAAGCGGGCGCGGAGGTTGCAGCAGGCAAGGCAAGATGATATACCGTTCGAGTGAGGAGGGGGGGAGGAGGAGGAGGAGGAGGAGGAGGAGGAGGAGGAGGAGGAGGAGGAGGAGGAGGAGGAGGATGAGGAGGAGGAGGAACAGGAGTAGGAGGAGGAGGAGGGACGACCCCATCGCCCGCCGAGAGAAACAGGGGAAGGGGAGGGGAGCAACACTAAAGACCTCCTGGGCTTCTGGCTCCCCTGGCGCTCACAGCGGGGCGCACCTTTGTCCACCTCGCCGCGGTGCAGGAGGGCCACCTTCTCGTTCAGTCTGCGCGAGGCCGCACCGCGCACCCCGCCCCCGAAGAAGCGGGGCGGGCGGAGGGAGAGCGGAGGGCAGAGGCAGGTAGCGCTCTCTGCGGCAGGGCGCGCGCGAGGAGGAATCTTGCTGTGAGAGTGCCTGAGGTTGTGGAAGCCATGGCAATGGTCATTGAATTACTGTAGAACTGTTTGCTTGTTTTCAGAAAGGAGAACCAACAACAAATGGTGGTGTTCATGTTTGAAGCATGTCTTAAACAAATGATTACATGCATGCTTAAAACCTGCTAACACATGTTTCGTTATCTGGATGCTGTGGCAACATACCTCCTCTCCACTGATCGCCTTCCTCAAATCTTAGGCGTCCCCCCAGAAGTCCAGGCCGTCGGGGAACAGATCTCCGTGGACCTACTGCTCGCCAGTACTAGACGCCGCCTCCCCACTCGACTTGATTCCAACAAGGAGCAATGCGGCTCCTCGCCGCTCCTGCAACAAAAGCAACTCCCAACGTGCACCCAAGCGGTAAATATCTGGACCGTGAGCGTGCGAGCATTTTGCATTGGCTTTTGACAGGGATGGCCAGGGTGGACTCATGTCCGCTGCGGCGGTGGCCAAAAACATGCTTAAACATACTGCAAATTGATTACGGGAACAAAGTCTGGACACCATGATGGCCACCCTGCCGCAACTTTGTAAAGCTGTTTGAGAAGGACTGTGGACGTGTCGACGTTTTGCCCTCTCACGTGCAGTGGCGCACCTGGCGCGCTTCGCGTGCGTCGCGCACCTGGCGCGGCTGAAGCCTTAGGCACACTTGGCGTACGAAGGCGCCTCCGGTTCACCAGGCGCGCCTGGCACGCTCTGGTCCCTGAGGCAACTGGCGCAACTGGTGCGCGCGGCGCACATGGCATGCGCGGCGACCGTCGCAAGCATCGCGCACCTGGCGCCCGTATTGGTTCCGAATGGCTGCCCAACCGATGACAAGCTCTGAGTCTTGCGTGGGTGCTACGCAATTGATGGGAGGGTGGGCGGGAATGCGCGAGACAGTTTGCCCCGTTGGGAACTTCACCCTTCTCCACAATTCCCCCCCCCCCAGGTTTGGACGGCCCCTGCTCGCGAGCCGCCAGAGCGTCCAAGATTGCCCAAAAGGCTCCCGGCAGAGCACGCACGCCACCCCGAGCCCCCCTGGCCGGGGACGCGCTGGACCAGCAAAAGCGTTTCGACTACGTCGTCACGGACACCTGCCTAAAACTGGCGCTGCACGCGGGGTGCCCGCCCGACATTACACCTGTCGGGCGTCGCCTCTACGCCGTCCACAGGAGCTGCACGGTCGGAGCAGGCTCCGAAACCCTTGCGCGCGCCGGCGGGCACCGTCAAGAAGGCAACTTTTCTCCCTTGGCGACACCGATCTCCTCGCGCGCGTCTGAACGAAGCGACAGCGCCGGCACGTGCCCCGCTCGCTGGCCCCCGTGGCCAGAGGGCCCCAAACGTCACTCGACGGTGCCGTCCTCTTTGTCTGGCTGCCTGGCCAGAAGACCCACCCTGGCAAAATGCTCGGCTGGGCCGTGGGTGAGGAGCTCCACCTCGGTGAGTGTTTTTTCAACAACTCCCACCTCAGCTCAAGATGTGGTGAAGGCAGTGATGCCGAGGTGGCTAGCGACTTGTAATGCGGTAGTGGACGAAGTTGCAGGCCTTGCGGCAAGCGAGGCGCGAATCCCACGGGATATCCGAGCCTCTGCCCTTCTGCACGAACGTCGCGCACGGTTGGTGCGCATGCGCATTTTGCGCGCCACCCTCGACGCATGCGATGCCGAGAAGGAAAACAGAGTTGAGCCTCACGGAAAAAGTCCACCTCCACTCCGCCTGTCCCCCCTTTTGCTGCTTCGCTCTCCCTCTTCTCCTCTTCCCACTGCCTTGACGGGACAGGCGTCGGTGCACACGACATGGAGGCTCAGCCACGCACCAAGGTGCGAGCCACAACCTGGCGGCAACAACAGGCTTGAATTTCCTTCCGGAATCTGTCGAGGGCTCTGGCCAAAGGTTCTGGGCAAGACGGAGATGGCCACCCGACGCAACAGCGCGTCATGAGGGTTGGCCCTCTGTTGCATTGCATGCCTGCCGTCAGCACTGTCGACTGTCGTTGCAGCTCTGACATTAACATACTCCCGATTCCAGTTCCAGTTCACTTCCCCGGGGCCGAGAAGCCGGCAGGGGGTCCTGATGAGCTCGTCCTCGGCGAGCAGCCCGTCCCCGTCGAGGTCGTGGAGCTGGAAGAGCTGCTGGACGAGGTCCTCCCGCACGCTGCGGTCGCGGCCCACCCCGCCCACATGGAGGCACTCGACCCAGGTGTGCGCTCGCGTCGCGAACAAGCAGCACGACGGGAGGCAAGAGGCCGCTCTCAGCCTCCGGGGGACCTCGCCAGGCCCCAAGACCGTCCACAGAACGACGCTCAGGAGCTAGGGGACGAGGTCGGGACTTATACTGGGACAGGGTCGGGACGCCGGAGGACTTATACTGGGACAGGGTCGGGACTTATACTGGGACAGGGTCGGGAACGACGCTCGGGAGGAGAAGCCGGCCCTAATTGGGGACGAGGGCGGGACTTCTACTGGGACGGGGTCGGGACGAGGTCGGGACGCACGCTGCGGGGTCCCCCTCTCCCAGTGGCAGGGCTCGAGTTGTGGCGGCGGGGAGCCGAAGGGGGAAGTTCGACGTTCCCTGGCGCTCTCGCCTGTGGAAAGTAAACACACAAAAACACACACACACACACACACACACACACACACACACACACACACACACACACACACACACACACACACACACACACACACACACACACACACACACACACACACACACACCCACACAC